CTGATAAACTGGAGAATTTGGAGGTTTCGGATATGAAATTAGGAGAAGGCTCAATGTGGACGGCAAATTTGGAGAAGCTGAGGAATAAGAACGGCGAAGAGGATATTGAGGACGGCAGCGTGGACGTTTCTCGCTTCAATTATGATTCCGACGAACCCAATGAGTACAATAAGCAAGAGGACAACATTAACGCAAAAAACTGCGGAAGCAATTCCAATGCCAATAGTACTGTAACTGGCGGAGACCAGAAGGGGAAGAAGAAGGGGCTGCCGGCAAAAAATCTCATGGCGGAGCGGCGGCGCAGGAAGAAGCTCAACGATAGGCTTTACATGCTTAGGTCCGTCGTACCCAAAATAAGCAAGGTATGGATAGATCTTGAACATGTTTTCTTTGAGATTACAATTGAAAGTTTTTAGCTATTTACGATTCAGAATAATTTGGATTTATGGCATAATGTATCTAATTTATGATCGTTAAGCTGTAATCTTGGGGAAGTGGGCAATAACTCCTGTTGTCTCATCGTTTAATTTCTTTCTGATAATCCTCTGTGAAGCCAGACCTCAAAATTGTGTTTTCCTTGGTTGCACAGATGGATAGAGCTTCAATACTTGGAGATGCCATTGATTACTTGAAGGAGCTTCTCCAAAGGATAAATGATCTTCACAATGAACTTGAGTCAACTCCTGGTTCTCTGTTGCAGCCTTCTGCGAGCTTTCACCCGTTGACGCCGACGCCGCCGACTCTTCCCTGTCGGGTCAAAGAAGAGCTGTGTCCAAGCTCCTTGTCCAGCCCTAAAACCCAGCCTGCCAGGGTAAATATAATCTAACTTCCATCTTTCTTTCTTTTTCATTCTGCTGTTTGTTTTTGTTTCTTCTACGGTTTGATAGTATTTTTGTCATTTGTATTGTATCTATGATGCAGCTATAATTTCTCTCTTTTTGTTTGTTTTTAAACTTTCGTAACAAGAACATGTAGCAGGAGGTGGATTTGGTTATGTAGTGTTAAGGGCATACAATTCTTCTTATATTTGTGATGCAAAAGATTGCAAAGTGATTTTTCTTTTTTTTTTTAACTGTGGTTGGATGTAGAAGCTACCAATGCATGAACAAATTTTGCCTTGTTCGAATGAGTTAATTCTGGAATTTAATTTTTGAAATTTCAATTTGTTCTTCAGTCAAATGAATCAGTATGAAGTCCCCCAAATGATGAGGTCCAATGATCTATCTGATACTTGCATGGTATAATTTCTTAAACTAGCAATAGCAATGGTGTGTAACAGTCTCATCGTCCTATTTTTTTAGGCTTTAGAAAATATGACCAATTTTGGCAGAGTAGACAGAGGCCCAAGAATGAGTCGTGAATGGATTTGTTCAACAGACCTTGTAGATTTGTTGTTAGTTCTAATGACATTGGTGGAGCTCATACATCTGTTTTTATCTTACTAATTCCATCCATGGAAGTCGGTTCGACCGGGTTCTGATCATTTGACAAACTCGAGCACAGTTTCTATCCATTTTCTGTGAATTTCCATATAAAGTTGGCTTCATTCTTGAACGCTTGTGGGATTTATTTGCATTGTATTCTATGATGAAGATCTGCTTCCAAGTTCCAATCATGATTTGTATGGCGTATAAATAACAGGTTGAAGTCCGGGTCAGAGAAGGCAGAGCTGTCAACATTCACATGTTTTGTTCTCGCAAGCCGGGTCTCTTGCTATCCACCATGAGAGCTCTCGATAACCTCGGGCTGGACGTCCAACAAGCAGTGATCAGCTGTTTCAATGGATTTGCTTTGGATGTGTTTCGAGCTGAGGTTTGCTCTCTTTTTCATTTAAGTTGTAGAGCATTCATTCATGTATGATTATTATCTGCTTTTGGTACTCACCGTGTCGTGTCTTTCTCTACGGCTGTTCGATTTCGTCCATGTTTGTCTCCATTTTTCCTGCAAGGACTCACTCCTTCTCTCTGTTTCAGCAATCCAAGGAAGGTCAGGAGATCTTACCTGAGCAAATTAAAGCAGTGCTATTGGATTCAGCTGGTTTACATGGTGTGATTTAGGGGAAGCTGTTGCTCAAATGCAGCCCTTCATTGATGGATGGATAATCGATCTGATATATGCATCAACAAGTTCTGTAAATCCAGTGGCATTCAGCTCGTCTTATTCTTGAAGGCGCGGTAGGTCGGGTCGGGCGAATATTTTGTGGTTTTAGTCTTTTACTAATCTTGCTTTCAGAACATACTGCATCATCAACCTCAAGTGTTCACTTCATTTGGTTGAGTTTTTTTGGAATAAGATTTTCTTCTGAAATATAATGTAGTTTCCTTCCTTCTGATAACTTCCCTTATTGAGTTGATTCAAAATTTTAAGTTCCCTCATCATTCTCCTCCCATTCAACAGCTTCCCCATTCCCGTTCCCGTTCCCGTTCCCGTCCATGTTTATGGGATATTTCGAGAAGCACATAGGAAGCTATGAATTTGCCAGATTTCTTTAGATTAAGTCAGTAATTTGCAGTTTCAGGTAGGATTCGATCTGCAAAATTTGATACTTGTTCAGTTGCCCATGAGTTCTTCTCAGGAATTAGTTTCATAACCTTTTTGTGTAGCAGTGCCAGTGAAGTCTCATGTAATAAAAGCCTTGCACATTATATGTGAATAAACTACACAATAACTATAACACACTGCACGTAAAATAAAATTACGATCGATCTTAGAGATAGTAATAGATGTCTTTCTCGACCCGAACCATGTTCGGATCTTGCGGGTGTGGGCCATGATTAGTAAACGCCATTTAGAAACTATGCTCCACAGAAGTCTCCACCAAGATCATCACAAGCCTCTCCTAGGAAAACGCTGCAATAATTGTAAGGCAAAGTTCAGTCTCAGTGGTAATTACTACAAACTCCAATGCATTGCACACAGTTTCAAGGATTTTTCTGTAACTGTAGCATGCACCACTTTTGAAAAATACCAAAACCAAACCACTTCAGCTCGTAGATTCAAAATTAGGTTTAAACTCTATTTTAGTTTTTGTCTATTTTGATATTTATATTTTTAAAAATAACTATTTTAATCTATATTTATAAAATTGTAAGAGATATACAGATAAAAGGATTAAAAAGAAAAAAAAAAGTCGTTCCAAATAGAGCAAAAATTTTAATAGTTAACAGCAAATATAGCCAAAATAAATAGTGGCATTGTCCAAATATTAATTATAATATCGATATATGTTAGTGATAAATTTAAAATGAAATATATCACTAATATATTTAGTGTGACTAATATATCTTATATCAAATTTTAATTAGTTATATCAACCATGTACCTTAAATCAGAAATCTTCAAGACGAATAAATTTGAAAAATTTAAAAGAAGGAAAAGAAAAGGGAAAAAGGGTAGTGATGGATGAGCGTGTGACGCACGTGCTAGAATCGGAGTAATCAAGATATTCTCTATCAATATCTTCCAAAGCGACGGCGTTTGATGGGGCGTTTTCCAGAGGCTGAGGCTGAAGCCTCACTTCTGGAAAAATATGAGCCCAACACGCTTCTCCACCAATTATCTCACATGCTTCAGCAGGAAACACTCTGCAACAACACAATACAATCAACTACTTAGATGAATTATAAAGTTTTGTATTTGAAAAGTTTCATATTTAGCGACTTTCCACCACCGCTGAATCCAAAAACTTAAGTTAATGGATTATGAGGAATATAATTATTTATTTATATTCTAACACCTCTCTCTGATCCGATCGGTCAAAACTTTTATAGTTCTATTGTCCAATCAATTGGGAAGGTACTTTAAAAAACTTCTAATAGATGTATGAATTTTATGCTCTTAACGTTTTGGAGCATCCTGACGATTATATACATGCTAATCCTCAAGATGGATATTCTATTTAGTCTGTGTATTTCAAAATATTTTATGTTTATACCGAGTTGATGAACTCGAATTTCGTAAAGTCGAATGTTTATACTACTAAATATTTGAATTGTCAAGAATCTGCTCACCATGTAATCTTTGAATCATATTGTAGGTAGGCCTTGTAAATGGTAAACTAACGAGTTAACTTTAAAAGTTTAAAGACCAAACTTATAATTTAATATGTCCTTCTTATCTTGCCTCCTGTCATGTCTGCTTTTATACATTGACATGGGATGGTTCGAGTTCAATACCTAAAGATGAAAGAAAATAACTTACGAGACAGCGGAGCTATAATCAACCACCGAGGTGTCGTAGGCGACCGTGGAGGTTGCTTTGATTGCGGGGCGACGTGACGAGAGAGAGCCGAAAGAGTTCAAGGGAAAAGAGTTGTTGGAAGGTGTTGGGAGGAGAAGGGGAAGGACAGGAATGGTAAGAACAGCCTGCATTCTTATGATGTTTAATGCTAAAAATTATGTAATTTGGAAGTGATAATTAGTGGTGAGTTTGAGAGTTGAATGAGTAGAAGCATGTTACTGAGATTACCAATTTATATGCAACAGCCTGAGCCTGCTCCTCCAGATAAGATTCCTTTGCTTTTCCTTCCTTTGACATTCCTTCATTTGGAGGATGCTTTCACACACTTTCCCATCACCTTGGAGATATTTTGTGAATCTTCGCCATATTTTTGCCAAATTGCAATCATGGTTCTAAATATCCGTCGACATGTCCATATTTTCATCAATATATTCATGTTTCTATGAGTTTGGCATTGACATGAAGGGATAAATCGACGTTTCCATCATAGCACAATAAAATCGACAAAATATGAAAAATATCAACAAAATGTCACTAATATATACATAATATTAATATTAATTATTTTTAACTAATTTAGAGATAGGAAAATGTTTATTTTATTAATTTAAATATTTTTTACGATTTTTTAATTTTTATAACTTTTACAGTAATATCCATCGATGTCGACATTTTATCGATATTTTCATCGATATTTTCATGAAATTGAAACCTCGACATTTTCATCGACATCGATATTTAAAACCTTGATTGCAATACATGTTCATAGTAACACATTAGTACAGATATTTGAAATCATGTTGTCAATTTGTTGAAATAAATTTTACAAAAGTTTAGAGACCAAAATAGAACAAATTTTAAAGTTCATTACATTTTGAAAGTTTAAGAACCAAATAAAATAATCTTGAAAGTTTAGAGACCAAAATTGGGTTTAAACTTATTATTTATAATATGCTCAATTATATTTCTGTTTTTCGTCAATTTGAAATTTATAGTCAACTAAAGCATATAATTCAACTAGTTAAGATATTACTTACTTCTTTAAAAATCGAGGTTTAAATATTCACCTTTTATTCTTTTTAACTCGAAAAGAAAAAGATAGAGACATACTAATAAAAACAAAAAACGATCATGTAAATATTTCAACTTTATAGAAAAAGCAAACTTGTCCAAATCAACTAAAATTCACAAGTTTTGAATATCAAATTACTGGTACGAATAAATACAAAAACTTAAACGTCACAACAAAAAGATAGATATTTATGGACGATGAACATAATTCAATGATAATTAGCATCTATTTCTTTTCTTGAGGTAGAAGTTCGAACATCCATATCTCCAACCTATTGGAAAAAAAAGATATTTGATTTTTTTTTGAACGACAAATATGACATATGAATTAGTGCGTAGGTATATCATTAATACGCCTTAAAAGAAAATATTATATCTATAATTGTTTATTTATTTATTATTATTATTATTTTAAAAATATGTAACTATGTACATTTTTAAATATTTTTAAAAATTATGCTATCGAATGTCCCAAAAAAATAATAATATTATAGACCTATGAGTCCAATTTAGCTATTTGGATGATAGGCCCATGGCATAATTTGGGCCAAACGCTTTTAAGCTGGGCCCAGTCCATTTTCAACCCAGATTTTGAACAAAAACTTGTCGCCATCTTTTATTATTTTTAAAACGAGTGGAGGTGGAGATTCGAACTCTTGATCGAATATAAATTCTTTAACCAATTGAGTTATGTTTTCTCACAAGTTTAATTTATGTTTTTGTATTTATATTCTTAGAAAGAAGTTGCATTGTTTTGAAGACCAAAGAAAAGAAGTTGGAATATGTGTCATGAAATGTTAAATTGTTTCACTCTTTTTCCTTTTAGTTGTGGCACTCGCAATTATTTATAAGAGGACATGCATGATGCATCATATAAAGGTTAGGTCATCATTTCTCAGTGTTGCATACTTTTTGTTGCAGCTAATTAAATTGATGGAGTGATACAAACAAGGTCAAAAGTAAGATAATAATATTAGAAAAATACTTGGTTCCTGAACCGTAAAGAGCAATTTTGTCCTCACCACTATTACCTCAGTAAAATGTTTTAGGCAAGTTGAGCATTGCAAGTGGTTTGTTGGTTCGTAGCATATAAACTAGGTTGATATTACAACCAAATGTGATAGGTAGGTTATTACTCAGGTCACCCAACCAACATAACATAGATTATAGGTTTTTTTTTTCCTTTTGATCTCTGTGAGTGTCTGGAACAGCTAACACACACTTCGACTAATTTTACAGTTATAGTTTTTTAATATAACCTCATCAAACTTTGTGATTATTTAAATTGGTTAATTGAACAACTAAAAAGAAATCAAGTGACTTCCCCTTAATGAGTTTGGAGCATCTTGAGATTGATAAACTTTTTGGATATTATTAACTAAAGATTGGTTTGTTGGGAAAATAAAAACCCAAAATTTAAAAGTCAGAGATCGGTTTCCATGTTAAATTCAAGAGAATTAATACCAAAGAAATGGAAACATACCTTGATCCATAATTAAAAGTTGATCAATGGATTTGACCTTCCAAGTCTAGATAATCACGAATTAGTCTTATAGATTTCTCGACTTCATAACCCCTCTGTAACCGACAAAAAAACTACGTATCTATATATTTTACCCATTGTCATTTTATAATTACTCTGTTAAACCAAAACTTACCCATAATTAGAACATTTTATTAAATAATTACATGTGCGGTCTCATTGATTCAATCAAATAAGGATCATGTTGTGGTCTACTAAAATTTAAAGAAACTAACTTCTTCTAATTTAATAGAAGATTGCTCCTGTGAAAATTCCAGACAAAGAATTGCACAAACATAAGAATAATGAATGCAAGTCCAACTCTTGTATGCTACATCTATATATTTTGATATCAACAATTTGCTATCCATTAAAATCGTATAACCATTGAAATGACAATCAATTACAAGTATTGCATAAAAAAACGCTTCTTCAACATACAAAATGACAGTTAAAAAGCAAGCAAGAAGTCAAAATACTCCGCAAGAAGTCCGCATCTGCTTAGAAAGGGATGTTGGTCGAACTTGCAACCTCATTCATTTACATATTTCTGTACTCATTATCCCTGCAAATAACACTTGGCTACTAGCGAATCAGTAACCAAGTATTATTCTATCAATATCTTACATGCGTGCCCGCTCACAGGCCAACGCGTCCTTTCCATCTACGTGGGTTTCGCTGATTCGAAGGCTTCATCCAAGGAACTATAACGAGCATATAGCTCAGCCATGCACTTGTAGTGCTCAGGAATTGGCACAATGCCATAATGTTGTGTCATTCGTTTGAAGTAAGCGCAGCCTGCCTCCACATTCTTCATATGTACACAAGCGCACAAAACACCCACAAAAGTGATTGCATCTGGCTTCACATTTACCCTTTCCATCTCACTGAAAACATTGAGCGCTTCCTCCCCAAGCCCATGCACCCCTAAGCTACTGATCATCGAATTCCAAGTCGCCAAACTTCTTTCGGGCATCGTCTCAAAAACTTCTACCGCATCCTTTAGACTACCACATTTGCTGTACATGTCAATCAAAGCCGTCCCTAGATAAACACCGATCTCGAAACAATTTGTCATGGCAAAATCATGAATCTTTCTACCTAAACTTGGGATTCCCATTTCAGTACATGCTTTGATCAAGCTTACCAGCGTATACTCATTTGGGCAAACATTCTCTGCCTGCATTCTCCCAAATAGTTCCACAGCTTCTTCAGGCTGTTGACTTCTTATATACCCATTAATCATTGCTGTCCAGGAGACAACATTTTTAGATGGCATTTCATCGAATACCCTTCGTGCTGCCTGGACTTCCCCGCAAGCAACCAGCCCGGATATCATGCTTGTCCACGACACCACATTGCGAACACGCATTTTCTCGAACACCTTATGACCACACTGTTTATGTCCACACTTGAAGTACAAATCTATCAGATTGTTCTGCACAAATGTATCCGTCGAAAATCCGTATTTGATCAACGACGCGTGAACCACTTTTCCAAGGTCAATTGCGAAGGAAATTGTGCAAGCTTTGATGACAAATGGAAAAGTAAACTTATCGGGTGCAATTCCATGACGTACCATATTCCTGTACCAAAGAAGGGCTTCTTCAGAGAGACCATTGATAGTGTTGGCCCGGATGAACAGATTCCAAGTAAACGTGCAAGGAATCTCGATTTGGCGGAATAGAATAATCGCGTACGCTATCGTTCCATGAGAAGAGTAGAGGTGAATCAATTTCCTAGCGAGTAACTGATGGTTGGAAAGGCCGCTGCGAATTATGTTGGCGTGGATTTGCTTGAGATGTTTGAAATTCTTGCAGTTTTGAAGTAAGAAGAGGGCCTTCTTCGGTCCGATGATCCCTCTCGAGCTCAGGAGTAAATTGTTGTTGGGGAAAACTTCAGGCGGATGAGCACATGAGAGGCATGGAACCATCATACAAAGTAGTTCAAGAATCCAGATTCGGTACGCGGAGGAGGAAGAAGAGGACGCAGTTCATCGTTAATGAGACATTGAAGAGATGAATTTGCCAGCGGAAAGCAGGATGGGGAATTGGGAGAGATGAAACCTCCAATTGATGAGCAATTGGTTGCAGCTGGAGGTCATTCCGATCCACACCCATTTGTGTGGGCTAAAATTTTTTCAAAGTTTTCCCCTTGAAATCCCCTATCCGTATGAACAATATTGCTTTTGCCGATTATCCTCCTCCCCACCACTGAGATTTTTACCTATTTCGATTTATAAAGAGCGAAGGGAGAAAAAAAAAAAAAAAAAAACTCTCTTTTTCTCCCTCTCCCTTGCAGAAAAACATGATATACGAACGACTTAAAAGTTTAAATTCGGATCAAAATGGTATATTTTCTTTAAACTTTCAATATTACAAATGTTTCTAAATGACGGTGTGTCTTGTTTGTGCATGAAATATCTGTCACAAATTCCTTCTCGAAGCGTGAAGGGACCTGCAAGACAAAATTGAACACTCTAATGCTTCAAGACAGTATTGGTCAAAGTTCCGATGGTCTTGGAAAGTTGCTATTCCCTATGAAGTTCCCCTAGACCATGGGACTTTAAAAAAATTCCGATGGTCTTTGAAAGTTGCTATGCCTTATGAAGTTCCCCTAGATCATGGGACTTTAAAAAATTGTACTCATCGTTAACAGCATTGAATCTAGATTGTGCATTGCTGAGATCGTTGAGTGAAGATCGACTAGGCTGGAATAGGGGTTTAGCATTGTTGGCGTGCTTGAACTCCCTTCTCCGACCTTGTTGTCTTTGAACGCTGGTTCGGAATCCATCTTCCTACTATGGGAGTGTGACACGTGGCAATTGATTTTTGCCCACAACACGTCCATTCTTTAGTTTATATGCTTTAAGAAGTTTTTAAATTTCAATTTTGTATTTAGTTTTTTTTTTTAATTTCAATTTTGTGTTTCTTAAATAATGTCAAAACCAATTCTTCAATTATGCAGCGTGCCATATAAGTGAAAAGTTCAGAGTTAAAATTAGGAACAAAAAAGAAAGAAACACAGCAATCAAACGAATTAGTAATTTAACATATTCTTTTTATCTTGCCTATTAGGACATTGAGATGGGTGGTTCAAGTTCGATAGCAGAAAAGGACTTACACGACGGCAGCCACTCGCCGAAGTGCTGTAGGCGACTGCAGCGGTTCGGAGCGGCGCCACGAGAGCACAGGCAACGGGGAAAGGTTCTTGGAAGAAAGTGTGAAGATATTTTTTTCCTGCACACCATCAAAAGTATCAATGCCTGTAACGATTCATACGTACACAATCAAAAGTATCAACTTATATAACATCTATTCCTTTTCTTGGGGTCGGAGATTCAAATCTCCATACCCCAACATCTGTTGGTTGTACTAAGAAAAGGGTAAATCAACCATTTAGCTTAAGAGTCTTTACAAATAATTGCAAGAATAATTAATGATACACTTTCTTTCAGAGGCTAAAATACAAGCTGCTTTACAACATATCTTAGAAACAAAACCAAAGAATAAACTGACTCAGGTTTCTTTTCTTTCTTGCCAAACAAAGCATTAGTAATTTCGCCAGCTCGTCCAGGCATGGAATCCCAAGTAGGAAGAATCATCTTTCGTCAGTGGCACACGTTCGTCTCGATCGCTCTCTGGGAAAGAACTGAAGTTTCTGTTATGCCTCTATTGCGTGTGCCCAGTCATTAGACAGAAATAAAGAAAGGCATTCTTTTAACAAGCGTGGAGATATTGAAGTATTACATAATACAATGGAGCATAGAGTGCCTATTGAGACATGCAGTGGAGGTGAAAGGTATGTGGTATTGTCGAGCCGAGCACGTTATTTAAGCGACAGAATCCAAAGAATGCCTCACACATACAAGATCATCCAACTTATTGCCGTCCATTTTGTACAGGGAGACCCCTTCCATCTGCTGGTAATGATCTTGTGCTTCTTTTCTCAAACTGTTAAAAGGTGTAACTTCCCACTTACTATAACTTGAGCGTTTCCTGGTATCACTCATATCGGGGGATCCCGAGACAGGACCTTCGATCCCAGGGTCCACATTGCCCCACACTTTACAGCTACCAAACTGTCCCAAATCGCCACTCCCTTGACCTGACTGACTCTTCTTCAAGCGCAAGGCTGCAGCGTGAGCCCTCCTAATCATTTCTCGATCTGGAACATCGGACCAGTCTTGCTTCCTCTTAGATCTCATTGGAGAATGTATTCTTATAACCTGAGTAGTCCTAAGCAAAATGAGTATCATAAGGTATGTACTTTTTGGGAGGACGGGAAGTTGAAAGAACTTACGCCAAGGCACTCTAATAGCTGGTAGTATGCCCTTCCTTGAAGTGGATTATGGCCTTTCCTGGGTGTGGAGAAGTACCTTGTCCTAAAAAATTAAAAATTTCAACCTGTTAGCAACGAGAAAGAAAACACAAGAGCGAACTTGTAAGCAATCAATAGTGTTGTGAGAAATGTGTGGGACATAGTGTAAATAGAAATTAGTCAGAAGGGAGTTGCATCAAACCGCAAGTGCTGATCAATGAAACCGAAAAGTTCTGAAAAATAAGTCTCTCACAAGTTGATGTGCAATTTCATGTAAATAAGCTAAAAAATGAAAAAGGCCAATTGAACTGAGTGCAACATTAGACAATTTAGGAAATAATCACAAAAAAAGGAAATGGTGACCAAAATGGAGATCTCCAGTGAGGTTCAAGCCAATATAATGATACATATAGACCAACTACTTCAAGTTCACAGACGAAATAATATGATAGTACATGGAATAGCGGTTGCAATAAAAAAATCTCTCAACAATGCACAGTTAAACTTACCATTCAGTGTAGCCAGGATCAACGGTGAAACCATATATGTCCACAATATCACACATAGAGAGAGCTAATTCAATAGATTTCATTCCAGTTCCCTTGGCACCTCTACGTAGAACAATACCTTGGAAGAGATAAACTGGATTTGGAATAAGCTGCAAAAAACATACAAATCTTTTACAAGATAATAAGTTTCTAAAGCATCCAGAAAGCAAAATAAGTGCTGATGCGAAGCCTTTCCCTTTCAGTAAAATCATTATGATTTCCAAAACTAGATCGTCTTGACCTTCTCTCAGGACTACTATTATATAGATAATAAGAGAATTTGCCACATGAGAATATGAATTAGCTTTTACCTTAATCATTGCATTAAAGTCTCTATGTATCACGCTCTTGATAACAAGTACCTCATCATCTAAAGAAAGAAAAAAAAAAACATAAGACCTGACATCTTAAACAGAGTCCAAGTAATATTTAACAACAGGAATATGACACCTTACCAGACCCATTTAGAATTGCAATCATATTGCGAGCAGCACCTCTTACAACAAGACGAAAATCCCTCTTCAGACCAACATATTTGGCATATTTCTACAGGGAATCATAGGGGTCAACATTAGTATCTAAATATCTTCCAGGGTACTGGATCATAGGAGAAGAATAAATCAATATCGCAAAATGTGAAGCATCAAATGTATAATGTTCAAAGATAAGAAACCACAGAGTTCCCTCTGGAAGGTATTACAGCCCACAAGGATTCAGATTCAGGTATCAACACCTGAAAGGCCTAAGGCCACCTATTGAAGTTCCTGATACTATCGATTTCCAATTATTCTACAAAATTTCAATGTTCAGAGATAAGATTCTTATGCTTTGAGCAGTGTCATACTTCATTAACATTTAGCCTAGCCAAAAGCAGTGAATATTCTGTGTGGTGAAGTTTTGCTACACACACAATATTCTTAGACCTAAAAACCAAGAGAACTTAAAATCAGCAACATTATTACTGCTTACCTGTTGTACATCGAAATATAATTCCCCTTAAACACACTATAGACACGTTGACAATTAGACACTACTATACAATGGGAAAAGTGATGATATTTTGATGAGAACAAACTCCCATATAATTCATTAATTTCTTTATAAACATTTATTGTTCGACATCTTTAGTTTGTTATAAGATAAACGCCTATCCATTTGAAAACATATAGTTCTTGCTTTTAAATAATTTATTTAATGTAAATGTTCTAAACCAAAAATTTGTACGAAAACAGAAAAAGTCCAAAATAGCATGCACAAATCTTTTTACATGTAAAGAAAAAAGCTCTAACCTACATGTTTAGATCTTAATCCTTCTGAACAAATACACATTGGTCTTTTCAATGATGTTTTGATGAGTATGGTTTCAGGTGATACGTGGAAGGGGTGGGGTTAACTTCGGAAAATGGGAGGGGAAATAACTATTGATACTGAATTTATTTGTAGGTATCCAAGAATACCTTAATACCTAGAAGGAGCTTACGTACTCAAAACAAAACAAATTCACAAGGCACAAATAACCACAGCAAGAGTTTTTCAATTATTATTAACAGAACAAATTACCAAGTAAAAAACTCTTGCAGTAAGTAACTAGGAATTGGCTAGTGCATCTAGCTTACTTCATTAACAGGTGCCTCATTATCACGTATAACGGCATCATGACTGTCAATTTCTTCACCAAACTCTGTCTTTAAAAGATCTCCAGAGTTTCCCACAACTGCACAGGTTTTAAACTGTCGGGGGTGAAAAGGAGGCTTTGACGGCAGGATCAAATGAAGATGTTCCTCACAAAGAGATCTATTGTAACATTTATCTGCTCCCCTACACAAAGATAAATAGATTTTACTCCACTAAAAGTCACTAGCTCAAATAATACCACCACAAGAAAAAATTATCTTGGAGAAACGGGATGAGAGTAACCCTACAATTGTGCTATCCTCTTTGCAGCATAATCAAACCACCCATCAGGCCGAGCATCCAAATACTCTCTTGTCAAGACCGTAGTCATATTGCGATACTGTATTGTTCAAGATACATTAGAATGCACATGTATACCCTTTAAGAGAATCCACAAAATGAAGAGGGCTACACTACACTACCAACCTGTTCCCACAATAATATTGCTTCACACACATCATAATTGTATTCCAATGGCTCATAAATCTTGAACTGCTCGTTATACTGCCAATAGAAAGCATAAACAAATCAGCGACAAAGCAAATGAGTGAACACACACACACACACATGAGAGAGAGAGAGAGAGAGACCCAAGTACTATTTGTGCCTTCTGGGAACTTGAGAATCAGTTTGCAGTTGTCAATAATATGTGCAGTGAGTCCAAGCCCCCTGTTTGCCTATACCCAATGGGCCAATTCCATGATCAGAGAAGTTAAAAATATAACTGAAAATACAGAGAATAAACTATGTACAAAATGCATAACTTTAAAAAACTGAAGGTAGTAAGATGCACTACTTAAATAACAACAGACATTCTCAAGATACGTACAAGATAAAAAACAAGACCCACTTAATCGAGAACTAATCAAACAAAAAAACAAACCACCTTAAGTTGGCACATCTGTCACAGGTAGCAGGCCTGATCAACCCACGGTTATTTCAAAAGAAATAACGAGCAAAGAAAGGACATAGAACAAAAAAACACTCAAAAGTGCGGCTTCATCTAACAAAAAGACGAGATCACACGGCACAACTAAATGTTCTCCAAAACGCGCTAAGAAGACACTATTCTCCTTATACTGCTAGAAATATTACAATGCATTGGAACATGCACAAAAAGTGACATAATTCGTACCATTGAAATCAATAAATCGACTTCATTCAGAAATCAGAAGAAATTAAAAGAAATCAACTACCATCACAAATTATCACATGGACTGAGCTCTTGTCAGCTATTCTCCCTTCGTCCAGAAAACGTTTAATCAAAAAAGGGAACAAGACGAACGCAAGAAAACTAAAGCTAAATAGAATACAAACCACGCATTGCTTAACGCTGGACTGGAAATCCGACAGAATCCGGACTTCCTCTTTGTTAAGATCTGCAAGAGGCTGCTGATAACCTGAAATTTGGAAGAGGGGAAAAGAAGAATATCAAAGAAATAGTAACGGAGATAAATGGTAAAGGAAGATGCAAGGAAGTGAGAGACGAGGGACCTGAGAAGAAAGAGGATTGAATGACGAATACGAAAAGAGAAAAGAGTGAAGCAGCGCAAACAAGGTGAAGCATCGTCAGCCTCCTGCTGTTGCCATTGATGGAGGAGGAAGCTTTGAGAGATCTCATTTAGAACCAGATTTCTCCTACGAACTGAGACTGACTGAGGCGGAATCCACTCGGCAGACTGCAACTCCGATCTCCGTAAGAACAATTCAAGAACCCGGACAAGAACTGTAAATTTAGAAAGTGTAGGGGCTACTTTGCAAAATCAGAAATCGCATCGCATTACATTACCGGCATCCAACCAGCTGCCCGCTAGGATCTATCTACTATTTGAAACTTTGTCTTGATTTTCCTTGTTTTATTAATTATTTAATTTCGATGCAAATATTATTCCAAACATTTTTTTAATTATAATTTCATATTGCTTTAGTTTAAGAAGATATGGAATTTGGGATTCGAATATACATAAGTTGGAAATAAATGCAAATAAATACTCTGACCAGTTGAGTTACGTCCAAGTTGGCATAAATCATAATTTCAATTTCTTTTATAAGAGTCAATTTTTATTTCATTTATATTATAGAAGAGCTAAGATTAAAAAAAATTAATAGGTTAAAGTAAATGATATATACTTTCCTAAAAATATATATATTTCACACACAATATGTGAGAGTGAGGGATTCAAATTTTCGATTTTGGGTTGATGATATATATTTTAACTAATTCAGCTATGTTAAAATTGACAGATTAAAGATATATTATTTAAGTTAAAATATATAAAACACTCCTAGCATATAATTTATAAGCTTGTTGGTTTCAGTTTCGCCAAAGCTTCAATTACAATGAAGGTAAAGATTGGGGATAAAATTTAAAAATTTAAAACATTAAGGGCAAAATCAAAATCTAAGTGTATAATTCTAAGACAATTTAGATTATTTAATCATTTCTTTAGTACACCATGTACCTTTTGACTGGAGATAGATATATTACCCAATTGAGTTATGTTCAAGTTTGCTTATATAATTTAATATATTGTTCAGAATTTACCTTTAATTGCTGATAATGTACCACTCATTTGGCTGATAATAGTTGAAAAAATAAGTTCTCAAGTAAAAATGGATAAACTTTCATAATATAGAGATTTAAATTTGATAAAAACGTAAGAGAACTTTTTTTTTCCCTTAAAATATTAAACCAAGGTAAAAAAGTTAAACCTACAAAAGCATGAAGACTAGCACCTCAAAGTAGAAAGAGGGAAAAAGAAACACTAACGTTTGACTACTCTAAATTTGAACTTTTTTGCTTTTAATGTTGTTTTTTATAAAACTTATTCCAAAAATATAAGTACCAACCAAACTATTTCAAAACACTTTTTTATATTATATAATAATATAATGTATTTATTTTTTTTTTTAAACAACTTGTCGTCTCTCACAGAATCGACCAAAAATTCACATCTACTTGATCAAGAGACGGACGTAGTGTGGTAGACTGTCTTGAAACAACCATCTATTTTTCAAGTAAGAATGTATTATTCTTAGAAATGATTAGTAGTATATTTTTTAAATAAGTTTGATAAAAAATAATATTAAAAAAAAGTCCCTCTAAATTTAAAATATTTTTAATTCCATAATTTATCCATTTACTAACATAGTTAAGCAAAGATTAAGATTCCAAAAAAAGAAGGAAAAAAAAAAGAAAATACCATTAACAGCAAACATTTTATTTAGCCTTCAGATGTACACAGCTAATCTTATTCTAAACAGTCCTAAACTTTTGTCAAAAGCCTGAAACGGACATTGATTTACATCACACTGAAAATACCATTATTACAACAATCACAAGCTTCACTTTCAACTATTCAATAGCGCCGACCACCTGCCGTGGACAACAGAACTCGACTTGGTTTCTTCCCCTTCTTTCCGACCTCATTCGCCTTTGGAGATTCTATATTTCCTCCAGATTTTGCTCTCGATATTACATTCGCAAACGATGTGGTTGCACTCTGTATGTCTGCAATGAACACACAACATGGTTTAAGAAGAATCCATGGACATGGGAAGGTCATTTTTTATACGCAGATACTCCAAGGCCCCCGTTTATAATATCCTTGCTGCACAGAATTACTATGAACAAAAATAAGGCATCAGAGGAGTACCATTGACACCAGAGAGATCACTTTTCACTTCATTAGAGTGCACAGAACCGGTTTCCTCAATTCTCAAGGATTGAGAATCATGCGCCGCTGCAAAACCAAGTCTTGTAACGCTTGAGAACAGTAGCCGCCCCCCAACAGGAGAGCTCGATGATGTCCCAGGAGAATTTCCTAAAGCTAGAGATAGAATTATCACAGAAATTAATATCAAGAAACTGTAACCCAAGATATGACCTGATGTAAATGTAATCATCAAAATATCCACAATTATGTATTTTCCCATATTACCGGGCAAAGGGCAAAATACTGTAACGTGATCATGGATATCCAAAATTGTAAACCTCATTGGGATAAGTCAGTAATAAAGGCCGAATTGCAGATTCATGTATGTTCAAGTAGTTTTAATGTTTGATTTGACAAAGCAATTATAATTGATTATGATTACTACAAAAGAGCTCCCTTGATAACTAATTTCTTATCTCGATATGAAAAATAAGCTTTTATTTGGAAGCCATTTCATGTCTCTTATTTATTTGCATTCAGAACATTTTTTAAATCTTAACCAAAATTCAAAAACTAATAAAATTATATTTTAAAACTTCTGCTTTTAGAACATGGCTAAAAATTCAATAACATCGCTAACAAGTTAAAAACACACAAACAAATATAGGCATCCACGATAATTTTATAAGTCAACATGTTCAGAATAAAATTCACCTTCCCCCATCACAAATATTCTGAGCAGACAAAGGAGGGCAAACAGTAGAGTAAATGTTACCTTCAAAATCATCCAGGGAAAGCTCTGGAGTATCGTGATGATAGAAATGTCCAGAACTAGCCATCATTTGCAAAGAAGACGTTGAAGCAGCTTCTGCTTTGATCTTCTCCCTTTCCATCTGATAATAAGATAAACTCATGATACAGAAGAAAGTAACAATATATAAACCCAATTTCATAATACAATATTCTCATGGAGGGAGGTTGACTCTTTGCCTCTCGGTTCTCGGCAGCATTCCCTTGTACTTTTTATCAATATTTCAAATGTCAGTTCTTATTAGCAAACAGATTGAGCAAAGTTTTAGATCATTGTTTTGGGGAGATAGTCAGAAGAGTACATTGAAACACTTGGTTAGGTGGGATATTGCCTCTCGTTGCAAGGAAGAAGGTGGTTTGGGTCTTGGGAGATTGTTGCATAGAAATCATGCTTTGCAGCCAAATGGGGCTAGCGGTTCAGTATAGAAACTTCAGCTCTTTGGAGGCAAGTTGTGGCAAGCATTTATGGTATTGACCGTTTTAACCGGAATGTTTTTGGGAAAAAAATTGGTAGTCGTCGTAGTCCATGCAGTCCATGGTTTTGCATTCAAGAACAGTGGTCGTTGGTGGCAAACTTCACCTTTTTCAGTGTTAAGAATGGCAAACGAGTTCTATTTTGGCACCATTTATGGTTGGGGGATTCTATCTTAAAGGATAGATTTCCATCCTTATTTCGGATCTCTTCTTCTCCTTCTATATCAGTCCATGATGCTTGGACTCATATTCTTCTTATTGGAGAATTGAAGTTAGGAGAATGCTAAAGGATGAAGAATTGGGAGAATATTTATCTTTGCTGTCATGTTTAAATCCGATCCAGCTTTGTGATGATGAGGATCAGTTGAAATGGAGTTTAAACTCTTCAGAAACCTTTTCGGTTAGCCCATATACTTTTAAGATTGTGTCTAATAAATTATTGAACTTTAAAAAGTATCTAATAGATCACTAAACTAAGAGAGGGACCTAATAAAAGTCGGTGAATTTTTTATTTTTTAAAATGTAAACATAAAATTAAAAGTCAAAAATCAGTGAAACGCTTTTAAAGTGGACCTATTAGACTTGACCTTGAAAGTCAAGGGACTATATAGATTTAGAGAGATTTCTTCGATGCCACTCATCAAGAGTGAAATGTGGAGTATAATAATCTTTCTTTCAGTTCGAAGTGCTGAAGAAATTAATATACTTATGATTTACAAGTTCGAACTTTAGACAACCCAAAACATTAACCAACTTGAAAAAGGAAACATGTAATGCCTTGCGGACACGGGAATGGAGAGGGAAATGCCTAACTGAAATTAGAAGAGAAATGGGAGTTCCTTCCAACGAGAAAGGAGCTGTCATAGTATAATGCTGGAACAGAGGGCAGCAGCTGTAGGATCTGGGGGTTAGAAGGGGACCTCCTTCATTGCTTGTTTGCTACAAAGGAGTGGTCTTTTAGTTTAGAGGAATTTAGCCTGGTGATGTACCTCCCTAAAACGATGGATGATTGACTTTTAGAAGCTAGGTGGATGGACTTCAAAAGGAAAGGGGAAGATTTTATGGAATTGCACCACTTAGGCCCTCCTCTGGAGTGGTTCTTTGTTTTTAAAGGAAATATACATCTCTCTGTTTCTTATTCAAAAGAAAGAAAGAAAGAAAAGGGAGTTCCCTATTCATTAACCAACACCTATGCTAATAATTTCACAAAATACCTTTTTTGCAAGTTGTTTCCTCTGCTTCTCACGCTTCTTTATCTCATCCATGAATGGATTCAACGAGGACAAAGGTAACAGGTTGGTCAAATCAATTTCACAGAGCTGAAAATTTTTATGGGGGAAAAAGATCAGAAATAATGATTTACAAGCCCTTGGAAATTAATCAAGAAAAATGAAAAATGAGCATACCTGAAATGACGTTGTTAAAGAAAAATGACTTAAATAACGATAACGCCTCCTTGTGGCCTCAGTCTGGGTCACTGTTTCAAATTCTAAAATCTTTCCACTTATTCTACAATCAGAGAGACAATTATGAGATACTATAAATAAACCTAATAAAACCAAAGAGTTCCAGTTAATTGTTTGCAAAATGCAACGAACATATAATTTGCCCATGTCTTTACAAACCTGAGTGGCATCCTATCGTAACTCCCATAATGTTGTAAAAGACACTTTATGTTTAATGGATGGAGAATGATATGCTGGCCATCGGTAGCCTGAAATCAACAGATGCAAATCATTTCTAACACACTAACTATCTAAAGCATGCTCTCTTCTGATAAGGAGACAATAAAACGCATGTGAAGTGAAACTTAATAAATGGACCATAAGACACTGACATGTTAAAGGCAAACTTGTTTTATTTAATTTATATGGACCATAAGACCCTGACATGCCAAAGAAAAACTTGTTCTATTTAATTTATAATCAAGTGTGTCAGCATTGCTTAAACACAGCTAATAAGGTATAATGGTAATTTGCATATCATGTGAAGTACAGATTACAATAACTAATGTGCAAATGCAAGATAATAACAATTCCCACCTGGTAAAAGTTGTATGAGTCCTTATCCTTCACATCTCTACTAATTTCATTTGAGTTTTGTTGGAGTTCTAAAGATTCACCAGCAGCCCCAGTCTGACCCACAGGAGTAGAATAATCCAACTTATTTTGCACTACATTTCCATGAAACTTGCTTCCATCACTAATTATGGAAGAAGCCTCACGTCTAGAACTGCATGCTCCAGGACCATGATTGTCAATATTATCAGTTGACGGGAGCACATGAGATCCTATCTGACAGTCATCGTGCTTAAAACAAGCCTGATGATCATTCCAATACTTCTTTCGCTGCTCCAATTGTTCTAATGCAGCACAAACATATGGAAGCTTTTCCAGGTCATCTACTTCCCCTGCATCAGCTTTTGCTAACCACCCATCTAGATCAGATATTGCTTTCCGCACAGAGAGATCCACATCAGATGTAAATATAAACTTTGAAAAAGAATCATAGATTTCATCGCCGTCACTTGACCTGGCATCATCCTCTTGTTTATCTTTAAATGATATGGTAAATGAATTTTTTTGCCGAGTTAAACGCATAAAATCTATAGTATCACCAACAGAATATTGCTTCAACAGCTCAATGTGGACGGTGTATAAATCCTTCAGCGACAACATCACAAAACACAAAGGGCACTTTTTCCAGCAATCACCTTTATGATCCTCCTTGCCCATTAACAGGTACCTCAAAATGCACGGAAAACAATAAATATGCCCACATGAGGTAATTTGAGGACACAGCGGATGTTCTAGACAAATAGGACACTGGACCGTCGATGGTGTAGAATACCTCACACATATAATATCCTCCCAATGCAGCATTTTATCAGGATCCAAATATTCAGCTGTATGATAACCTGAATCTAATACCACAAATTTGTAATTAGCATGGAGAAAGAGATCCTTATTGTATGGCTTTATCTTATGTGGCCTTCTTGGAGGAGGAGCTCTAGGTCGAGGACGAGGACGAGAAATGGGATCATATTGAAAATTAAGCAAGTGGTTGCCATTTGTGATTTGGGATTTTCTTCCAGCTGAGCGTTTATTGCTGCCATGAGAGATCAGAGGTCTAGCACTTTGCTGGTCGGGAGAAGAAATGAGAGTAGATGACATCTTACTCCCAGGCAGGATTGATCCACCCTCTTGTCCACCATCACCAGAGTGACACCGCAAATGGGTTTCAGTGTTTGGACGAGATAACATCTTCAAATCATTCCGAGTCTCTGATTCACTTACCTATATATCACAATACACATGAAGTGAGATCATTTGCTTCCCTTTCTTTTACTAAAACACGAGAAACAATGATCTACACCACCAACATTCAAATATGGGAATGGTCTTTCAATTACCCAACTGCCTAGTTTAATGAATGAAACATTCACCAATTATTGTTCATAAATATGTAATTCCGTAGAAATGCAGCAAAACAACCAAAATCATGTAAATGTGGTTGTTTTCTCCAAGAAACTGGTTAAAAAAATAATTGTCTTATGAGCAAAGTATCTGTATCTATCAATTTAAAAGGAGCATGAGGGGCAAAATTTTTGATTTCCCTCCAGACCCCTTCTAACTTAATAGATTTTAAATAACCTTCTTTTCTAATTCAGCTACCATTGTAATAGTTATTTAAATATTGCTCTCAAAAAAATAGAATACTGTGTATTTTAGAAATGAAATTTTAATTAGTTCCATTAAGTCTAGGAAAACAAATATGAAACGTTGTTTAAGAAAAAAAAAAACAAAAAAAAACCTACTCCGTTGATAATTTTCAAACCAATTTTTCCATAAAATAAGCTTTGGGTTCGATTATTATTGTTACACTACGAAAATGAAAAATCAATAAATTCTTTTAAATTTTGTACAATCAAACCTGATTTATTATTTCATCTGTGCACTACATGACTTATATTTTAACTGCCAAAGTTAATAATTAAACCAATCCACTTAACACGCTAAATTATTAATGAGTAACTAATATTATCCAAGGTACCTTCTTGGAAGATTGAGCATCATTTGCAGGTTGAGTCGATGGACCTGCAAACAAAATTGAAATGAAGCAAATATAACCATTCTCTGTAAAGTAATTAAGAATATGCACCACACATCTCGAAGTAATGGCACATGAGAATGATAGTACAAATGCCCCTGTTTTCCATTACCAATACATTAAAAGCTAGAATCATAGTACATGAGTAAAAAGATGGTGCCCAATATCTATTCTACATTTAAATTTCCTAATCAAGAAACATCTTGGAATTGTTTAATCCAACTAAACATGATCCGAGTGCCCAATCTTCAGCCAGTCAAATGTAGAAAGAAACACACAACAGCCCGGGATACTATGACCACCGAGATAAGGTATGATGATTATTAAAGCGTCGATGACATTTCACCAAACTTTTTCAGTAAGCTGAATAGTTCACTATCTTAGTTTTGAGTAACCTCTACCGCTCGTGCTATTCGTAACATTATCGACGACATGAACATGAGGCAAGAAAAGACATCATATCACAAAACCATGGTCGCAGAGCAGTAAAAAGGAAACCAATAAAACTGGGAATTGCACTTTTTCCATGACATACTCACTACCCATCATCGATAAACAACAAAGAGGAAATCCTCAGGATTACAGAACGTAGTATTCAATTTAAAGAGCTTGTAAGATAGAAAATGAACCTGAAACATTGCAGGGTTCACGGAGATGAGACTCGGGATCGGAGATCCGCAGGGATCCAAAGGAATGCGTCGGGGGGGAAAGAGAGAGAAGGGGGTCGGGTCCATATCCATGGTGGGAATTAGGGTTTAGAGAGGATGCTGAAGAAGAAGACGCTGAAGTGGAACCCTGGATTTGTGAAGGCAGGATGGACATGAAAATCTTGGAAGAAACGAGAGGCGAGTTCGTCGTTAGCGTTCAGCCACTGTGACCATTCCCAATTTTAATTCAATTCCCCTTTTTATTGAACCGTCTTTCCACCGAACCTTCGTTATTTTCTTGGGACACCAATATTATTATTTTATTTATTCAAGAGAAACAAATAGTTCTGTCCTATTGACTTTTAACTTTCGTACAAATCTCTGTAAACAAAAAAAATCTGTCAACAAAAAAAATGCCTCGGTACAAATTTTGATTACGATGGCGAACAAGTAAACGGAGTCTTAGTACAACTTACTATCTACGTGTTTTGAATCATAAATTTAATACATGAGACTTAAAAATTAAAACATTAATCATATATTAATTTGTTTCAACCGAAAAATGATTACTATATTATGAAACTTAAGTTAGCACGATCTAATGTATTTAGTTTTAAGCCAATATTTGTGTATGGAATGTGCTATTATACTCGACCACATAACACATCCTGTGAATATCGGCTTGAATCTCGTAATTGTGATTGTGGGGAGTTAAGTATTACTAAATAGCCAACTAGTTAGTTCAACTTAGCAGTCCAAATTTGGACCGGAATATTGAATGAATGATTCAATTTACTGTATTTGGAGTATTATACATCAGACGATTAGACTACATAATATTTTGTTATTTATCCTCCTACACCGTTTTAAATAGTTTACTTTTTTTTTTCGAGAGGTTTACCTATTTAAGAAAGGTTGTATGGGTCAATATTGTTATATTTTATAATATATTTTTAATATTAATTTTAAGTTAAAAATGCTAAAATAAAACAGATATAAAGCCCAATATGATTAATTCACTCAAAATTAAAAAGGAGGACTTTCTTTTCTTTTTCTTTTTCTTTTTTTTTTGAGGCAAAAAAGGAGGACTTTCATTTAACCTGTACTCAATTTATTTCATTTAGGAAAAAGGTCAAATTAGTTGGTTTTGGGGGAAAAATGTCAAATCAATTTGACTTAAGAAAATCAATTTTATTTGATACGATTTAGTAATTATTGAATATTTATCAAATGATGAGGAAAAATGGTTCGCTTTGGCGTTATTGGGCCGAAGCCCAGCACCCAAGCAGGCCCAGTCGGTAACCCAGCGGAGGTGAATAATCCATTTCTATCCATTCTTCGAAAATTGAAATCATGAACATGAACAGCCTGAGGCTGCCCTAAATTCATAATTGATCGCCAACGCCGAGCATGGAAGACAGTTTCAAAGTTCGTGTGGACAGAATCTTCGGTTCTCTGTCATCGTCATCTACTTCAACGGCAGCTTTGAATTCATCTCTGAGTTCTCTGTGGAGCCTTACCGACGATGAGATCGAGAGGAAAGAGTGGATCAAGGAGAAGGAGGATCCCCCCGAACCAGAGCCCGAGCCGAGTTCGTTTTTCGCCGGCGGAAGGAAGCTGAACCATAGGAATTCGTTTGGATTCCGGGACGGGTTCGAGGATGACCTCGAAGCCGATTTGGATGAAAATCCTGAGTCGAACGGGTCGTCTAGTAAGTTTCCTAAGCCTGACGATTATGGAGACGAAGAGTGGGAAATCAAGTCCTCAATTGGCCGGGACTGCACGCTTGATTACGAGGTACCTCTCTTTCTATGGTAACTGTTCTTATTAATTTATGCTTAGTTTTTACTGCTTTACGTGAAGGAGAAGTTAAATGAAGCGAAACAAGTTGGTAGGGCTGTTTGCGATTATAGCAGCTTCAATTGCAGGCTTTGATAATACTGCAGAAAAATAAGATCAGAGCCCAATATTTTGATTTTACTGACGATGAGATCGAGAGGAAAGAGTTTAAATCGAGTATATGCTCTCTGTCTACAGCATTTCTTAAAATCTAATTCCATGCAGTGAGGCTGGGAAGCTTATTTAACGCGTGATTATATTAAATTTTACTGGTGGAATATGGAGTATGATTTAGGTTTAAGTCTTTGTCCTCAATTTGATTAGTAGCTTCCATCCTAAAAAGTGAAATCTATAACTTGTATTGATGTGTGACAATAAATTTATGCAGGAAGAGGAAGATGTGTATGATAAAGTTGCTGTTGGCAAGGAGAAAAGTGGAGATCGGTTATACATGAAGGACATTGCTGACTGTGGTATTGAAATAGATTCGTGCACCGAGCTTCCTACTTCGTTGCGGAATTTCACCAGAGATCCACGCGCCAATCACTTGGCTGCAAAAGTTAGGCTCAAGGAAGATGCAGAAGCTTCTAAAACAACTGATTCTTTGCCTATCTCTGAGAATGTTGCGCTACCCATTGCTGTTCCTGAATGCAATGCTTCTCCGAACCCAAAATCTATTCTGAAGAGGAAAGATAATCATATAGATGTAAAATCGCAGAAGCGTGTCCGATTCAACCCTGAATGTAAAATCTCTCAAGACTTTCGAGGATCTAAAGATATCTCAATGGAAGGGAACTCTTCGCCTGAAGATGCATATGTTTGTAATGAAGCAACCTTCTCATCTGCAGGCTATCGCACTCAAGTTCCGGACTACATACAGAATCCATCGAGATACACACATTATACATTTGATTCATCCTATGATGTGGATGACGAATTCAACAGGAAAGCCTACCTGGATTTCCTTCAACTGGTGAGAGGGTCAAAGACCATGGAGTCGCATGAGGATGATGCCTCAGCTGGTCCTCCGAAATACATCACCTTCATCCCAAAAAAGAAAGCGGGCGATACAGTAATGATCGAAAATTCTGCTCTAGGGTCACAGAATGATCAGAATGGAGCTGGCAAGGAGGTTGTGCAGCAGAGAGGCATAGCCATTGGCATTGATAATCAAACTGATGAAGTGTGTTCAATGGAGGAAGATGAACCAGATAAATTAGAACTCAGAAGAAACAGTTCGCAGAAGCCGGGCCGCCAGTACAGGATGCGAGCTAAGATGGAGTCGGAGGAGGAGGAAGCCTGATGATTGATTTGCCTTCTTAGCTATTAAGATCACAACTTTCTTCATCACCTTGCTTTAACATTCATTATCATGTTTGTATGTACAATATTTTAATGACGCAGGAGCAGGACAGTGCAACAGAGCATCTGGGATTGCGAAAGTTAATGAGTTACTAATTGCTAAATTTCCAAAAGGCTCAGTGGGCTTGAGACCATAGCCATTCTCAATACCTGAGCCTCAAGCCCCATGATTTTACTTGCCTCTCCAGTTTTTTGTGAAAACGAAGCTAGTTGCATAGTCGGTTTGTTTCTCGAATTAAAGATATGACCCAAATTAGTGCTTCTGAAGGAAGCCTTTTAACTTTGAATGCTACGACTTCCAAATCTTTAGATGACAATGACATTCCCAAGTTTCTTCGAAAGGCTAACGGCAGGAATGGCGGAAGAAAATAGCACATTTTGAAAAATGATAAAAAAAAAGTATCAGATATTGTAAAAATGGGACAAATTTATACCTAATACAATGCTCAATTTTAGGATTAAACACAGCAATATTTAAAATTGAGAGTGAGTATTTAAATATGAACATGTATAGTGGTCATGTATGAACCTATAGATATATAGATCAATATTAGCAAGGGAATAGTGTAAATATAAATATAGAATGAATGATAAAGTATTAAAGATTATATGATTAAGTGATGATTAATTATTGGAAAGGAAGAAAAAAATCAGTACACCGAACCAACAAAACAAAAAATTACAATGGTATGGTACATACTAAATTCAAATAACAAAATGAAAGAACATATCTTAAATTAAAAAATATATAAAATCACATAAAAGGTTAAAAAGATTATGGAAAATCCAAAATTTAAAAAACAACCCGAAAAATAAATGACTGAAAAATGAACAAAAAGAAAGCATGAAAAAGTACACAATACGCAAAAAAAATGTAAATCTGGAAACACATAAATATTTGAGAATAATTGTGAAACAAATTTTTTTTTCTAAAAGAGAAATTTTGAATGACTAAAAACAAAACTCTAGGATTTTTTTTATTTCAGATTGAAATTGTTTAAAAAAAATAATCCAAGATGACATTAAAAATAATTTTAGAAAACAAAAATACAGCATCGTGGATTAAAATAAAAAACAAATAGAGAGAAACTAACCAAAACTATCGAGTAGCCATATATGAATTTATCATACATTGGGTTCTTTTCCATTAGCTCAACACTATCTCAAATTTTCCAGAATGCTACCGCATGTTGAAATGCTTTCATTAAATGAGTATGAGTTAAGAGCCCATTTATCCACTGTAAATTGTATTAAGCATCTAGTTTATCAGGTTAAGACATATGTAAAAAAAATTGAGTTAAAATCTCACATCTACGTGTTGTATTGTCATGACAAAATCGTGCATATTTGATTTCTTAGGTGTAATTTCTCCTGTTTTCTAATCCATCCTTTTTTTTTGTTTAATTTAAATTGGTCACAGATTTAACAAAATGTCATTTCATCTTTTAACTTTTAAACTGTCAAATCAAATTTAAAGATTAGATTATATTTCAGAACCTTATATTTTTTTTTTTGCGCCTGTCATTTACAGGACAAAGTAGCTGTCTTTTTGACTGGCCCTTCGATTCGCAGTTCCATCTCTATGTTAATCTTCTATTTTTTTCCCCTTGTAGCCGCAATACTTCTTAGAGAATAAAAAACACCATCTTCCCATTCTCTCTATTTTAAGTGTTGAAATTGGGTAGCATTTTGGTACCAGTATCATTTCAGTCCACCTATATAAAAATAAAAATGTATTAGAAATACTAACAAATACAAAATCCGCTAAACACAAGTAAGATTTTGACAAAACAAAACTTAAGTTGGTTAAGACATGTATCCTCAAATTAAAAGTTAGATATTCGGACCCCTACAAATTGTTAAACAAAAAGAAACAGAACTTAGGTTTAAGAATGATAGTTACACTGAAAATTACCATCCGCATTCCAAATGCTGTCAAAGGTTACCATTAAAAAAAACAGTACATATTTTGTTCTAACCACCTGACAACCTCTATTTAAAACACCAAATTGAATAATCCTGAGTTTGTAGATGAAAAATTTTCTATAGCTCGGTTACTAAACAGTTATGATTTGACAAAACCAATGCAAAGATCAATGTTATATTAGATACGTCCAATACACAGATTATCGCATCAAAACACAAAATGAGGCTTGCAGAATCCAAAATATAAGAGTATCTGATATTTCAAATTTAGTAGTTTGTCCCCAAAAAAATGTATGTACAACTTTCCCTAGTTGTAAAATCAAAATGTAGTTTTGAGGGGCGGTTCTGTGTGGACGTATGATGTACCTAGAAACGGGAGAACAAATACGAACAAGGTGAGTTTGATGGCGGTATTGAGGGAGATGAAACCGAAAAGACTGATTTCTGAGGCAAAAAACAGAAGATAGAGACACTACCAGAATGTACCAGCATATCTGAAGGCTTCCCTAGACTAAAACAAGCGTTTCCTACACTCAGTGGCACCACAGAAGCAGGGCATCTGTTTTAACTTCCCATCTGGACCATACACACTATCAAGTGCATAGCCATAGTCATATGTCAGTTCCTGCAATCAAGTAACAAATGTTTGACACTCCAAAATTTGTCGTCAAAGGCAGGTAAATAGCAAAGAACGAGTAATGGACTTGAACACACAAACAACAATAACCTCAAAATAATACAATTGGAGAAACTCAGCCTTAATTTGATAACATTAACATTTTTAGTTTTTCTATTCTTAAAAAAAGAAAGCTCGAGAATAAAAAGACAAGAAAGTTGATGATTATGAACTCCTTAGGCACAAATACCTTATGTTTGGGAGCGATGGCAGTAGGAGTAATTTTGAAAAAAGAGATTTAAGAATAATTGATTTTCCAAAATCACTATCCAAATGATACCTTATCAAACATGATAATGGAAATGGAAGTGATTTTGGCAATGGCAAAAGTGATTTTATCATGCCAAAATCACTCCCAAACACATCCTAAGTTGTGCCACCCAAGAACTATCTGCCCCTCAAATCAGAGATACCACGACATAGTTAGAAATTCTACATGCTAAACAACCCTTCCTTTATCCTGGGAGGGCGGATAAGACAACACCTCTAACATCATTCATTAAACAACAAGATCTATTACGAGCCAAAAGCATGCTTGAAGACTCCAAAAAGCTATCCCAAATCAAAATTGCAAATTGATATGATGATATCTCAACAATACGTGATCCAAATCCTCATAACCTCGCTTGCAAGTGATGCACAATTGAAGCACAACAACCTAGAGAATGATAGGGCCAAGGTCACACAAAAAAGACAAAAGAATCTATATGAGAGAGAACCCACACAAAGGATTGGAGTTCAAATAAGAATATCCCTCGACTAAGGCTGGAAACAGGAGCCATACATGATACAACAAGACTACAGAGAAGCAGAAAGGAACCAAAAGTTTCACTTTCAACAATGAACGCCCGACACTGAAGTTGTACAAAATGGAACCCAAAGAGAAAATGATAGAAGCTACAGGAGCGTACATAGAAGAAATGTGATAAAAATGAGGGGGAAGAAGGCAAAGGGAGCTACAACCACTAAAGATCATCCCATGAGCACTTGATCCATCACCAATTGAAAACTTCACAAACTTAGAAAAGCAAAGGAAACCTGCCTTCCAAGGCCTTTAGCCATCAAATTTGAGACACGATGAAATTGCCATAACCAGCCGGATATTGTCCGTATTTGCTCATTATAACCTTATGCCACAAATCATCAGACTAAAGTGGAAACTACTATAACCATTTACCCAAAAAACCCAAGTTATGTCTTAAATTTTCTATATCTAACCTACCCTTCTTACACAGAGGCATGACTCTAAGGCGACCTCCTACCTAACCAAATGAGAAATCCTATGCTCTTCAAGACCTTACTGGGTCCTAAAACAAAGTCACTCATTATCTTCGTTCTTAAACTAACGACTATCCAAATATATTGATAATGAAAGAAAAGACCAGAAATTTGAGATACTTGGATCCTCCCTTCCTTTCTCTAGAGTATACTTACTCAAAGTCTTAGTCACACTAAACAATTGTCTTATCCCAATCATTTCTTTTTGACCCTGTTTATAACAAATTTCCAACTTTCCCTATTAATTACTAATATACCCTTATACCCTACTAATATTCCTTGTTCTATCATAAAAGCATTCCTATAACTGCCCACCCCTAAAACATACCTTGTTCTCAAGATGTGGTCAAACAAATATTTTTACCTCAAGTACGTTACCCACAAAAATTAAAACTTAGCATTCAAAAGAAAATCCTACTTGGGTCAACGGTTGTGATGGAGCTTGTGTGGAATGTCAGTGGATGGTGGTGTGTGGGGACATCAGCGAACGACAATCAACAGTCGTAGCATTGACGATGCAAGCTGAGGAAGATGGCAGCAAGTGCGTGCAAAAAATGGCATGGCTGCCAATCAGGGACGATGATCCCTAACAGCTAGAGACGATCACACAGATGACAATGGTGGCTGATAGTCTACGAATGGCAGTAGTAGCACACACAACATATATGAAAAGCAAGGGAAGTACATGCGGCTAGGGCAATTTCTTGCACATGGTTAAGGTGATGCCCAATTAGGTCGGTTTCTAGGTTATACACATACGACAACCCAACCATATATCCATCCACCATTTCAATATCTGCTTCAAAATGAAATGGGCTCAACAGATTTATGTAAATCTAACCCTAAATTTAGCAATGTTTATATTGTATATTTTCCACACCCATGACCCCACTTCCTAAAAATTCACGTGACTAAGGTTTAATTTTTCCTTCTGCCATCCTATTTTCTTGCCGATTCCATCTACTTTGTGAATAACCACCTCATTAACATGGTGCCTACTGAAGCTATGTCTCCTCTAATGTCTCTGTCTCCACCTTCGTCTTCTTCGAGTCTTCACCTTCCACCATAAAATAAACAATGGCCATAGATTGTCCCGAAAAATCCAGCCTTCATCATGGCATACTTCTTCCCTGGCTGCTACTGCAAGATCTTCGAATTCCCACCAGTCACGTCTCCCCTTGATCACAATTATACCTTCTCCAATAGTGTTTTCCAATTGCCTACCTTTTTGCTCGCCTTCTCTTGCTTTCGTAAGAAGTTTTACTTCCTCAATTTGTTCTTCCATTCTCCAATGTTGTTTTTTGTTTTCTCTTGATCAACACTTTATTCTTTTTGCTTATGTTGCACATATGATGATTGATGATACTTGCATCTTTGCATCTTCACTGTCTTGGCTTTTACTAATGTAATCTCTTCTTCTATTTTCCTAAGAGTATTTGTTGGGACGGTTCTGGAACTCATAGGTTGGAATACTTTGTGCAAAACCAAGTTCATCTCTTTCTTCAATTCATTCTTCAATTGATCCATACATTTATGTAAAATCTTCAATATCTTTTCATGTAAAATATCATCAAACTCCAACTCCATGGCTTCCCATGGATACGAACCAGAGAAAAATATTGATAATGAAAGAAATACAACATAAATAACTACCAAGTAATTCGAGGCTTTTGGACCCTCCCTTCTCTTGAGTATTCTTACTCAAGTCTAAACCACACTACAATCTCAACCCTTCCTCACTTACCCTTCTTTTTTATATCTATGAGTTTCCATGCTAGCTTGAATACACCTTCACTAATCTCGCGAGCCAACCATCTAATTCTACTATATTTGGTTGCTAAAGAAACTTATAGGATATTAAATATTAAGTAAGTGGTCATCATGGTTTGAACACATTCCCTCTAAGTCCTCTACTATATACATTGGCCCTTATTGACCATTAGGTCAAATCATGATGGTTTCTCACTCACTGTATTTGTAATAAATCTATAACTTCCCAAACTAATTACTAATATACCGTAAAAATATTCTAAGTTCTATCCTAATAGAATTCTTATAAAAAAGAATTTCATTCGAAACGGACTAAGTAAGCATTAACTTACCAATTACCACCCTTACGAAAGACGTTTTTAGACCATTTCACAGCTAGAGACAGATATTTAAGCTTGTGATCATGAAGGCCTAAATAAGTAGAGGGAAGTCCCACATTGCTAAAGATGCCCTCCTAGCAATTGCAATTAATTCAAGCCCTTTAACCTCCCTATTAATCTTAAGTCTAAAATTGGCCAATAAAACAAAAGTTTAGAATGATTAACCAACAAAAAAAAAATTCCTTCCTAAACAAAAGATCGTATCATCAACAAAGTGGATCGTAGTCTAACTTAACCTGTACGTGTTTATCGTGTAGGGAAATTTTTTGCAGAAATTAACAGGCACTAACATTTGGAAATAAGAGCAAAAACAGACAAGTTGAAACCTGGAGGGGTGGTATATTTTCTGCAGCAAATAGTACCACTCGAGCAAGTTTGATGTCGTGGTGTGAGCTCAATACACATTGTACAAAAAGATTAGGTTCACAACTATGATTGATAAACCTTGCAATATTTCCAGTGAAACAAGCATCAATACAGAACTCTGGCACACTTTCAGATCTTTGATCATCAATTCCATCCAACGAATTGTTTGCTGGTAAAGATGCATCTTTTGAGCGCCTCTACAAGAAGAGGAAAAATAAAACATGTTTGATCTTCATGGTAATAGAGAATGAACAATGAAACAAAAATACAATTTTGAAACTTGGATAATACAATTTGAAAATATCGAATTATCCATAATGGTCAAAATACATTTGTTCCTCTCGGAAGACTCATCTATCAAAATCAAAAGGTTGTTCTAACTGCATTAGACAAAAGGACCTTGGTTCTTCCTTCAGAGTAAGGACTACATATAAGGGCATAAAGAATTTGACGCAGAATACTGAGAAGGATGAAGCTTATTCCAAATCTCTGAAAACGTCCAGAAAATTTGAAGGATAAAGGGTATTCCAAAAACAGATGAGTCACGGTTTCACTCTCATGAAAATTGGCATCCGGGTAATATATGGGAGATTTCCTTCTCCCTTTTTGAACGCATCGTCAGAGACGATGAAGAATTTCTCACCCGGACCTTGCATCTCATTAAGAGACAGATTATAATAATAACGATAAAGGAATGAAAAAACTGCTCATAAATATAAACCCTGACATGCTCCTTCACAAATCATCACGCGTATTACCATTCCATACTGGTGTCTTACTCCCCTCAGCCAAACAACGCCCATGCAAGAGTCTTTCACTCAATCTCATGCCCACACCTCAATAACATGCTCTGTTGTCAGGATGACATTTCATGCTCACACCATAATGTCAATCTCTTGGCTTTCACACTCTCATCTCAGCTCCCCACTCCCTCCCACCAACTTACTCAGCCTCACTCCCTTCTCAGACACCGAGTTATTCCACCATGATCAGTCATAAGCACCTCAGTCCCATCAGTGATTCACTACTTGCCCAGTCGGGGTTAGCTTGCAAAGATCTCTCTTGTCCCCACATAAAAATCCCGTATGAAGTTATTTCCTTGCTTTTATCAGTAACTCACTATCGCTTGAAGTGATTTTCACATTTTCTAGTCATGGTGAATGAAAATGAGAATTCTAGAAGGTTTTTAATTGGAAATCATGTATTATTGCAATTATAATAGGGGAAAAAATCCCAGCAAATTACATGTACAGAACTCCTATCCCACCACCACATTTTTAAACAGAGAATCTGCAACAATGTGAACGTATTAGCCATTAGGGCACAAGAATGCAGGTGGGAAATTCATCCTGATCCCTTCCCACTTCGTTGATGCTCTATTTGAAATTTGAAGAAAAATATATGCATTTTCAAAGATTCTATTTTCATAAACAAAATTTATTCTAAAGACATCTTGCTTGGTACCTCTCGTCCACCAATGCCCCTAATTGTTTGCAAGCAATCAATGTCGAAAATATAATTATTCTCAGACACGTGATCAAGATCCTCTGTCCTTGTAAGTATTCCTATGTATTCACAAACAGGTGCACCAGAAGGTATAAAATCCCATGACCTTACAGCCCACCCTTTCTTCGGTGTTCGAAAAACCTGCTCACAAAAGATACAATAGTTTATTTAAATCGTTTAAACTTTGACTGACTAATCAAAATGGGAAAGGAAAATTAGGAATCTTGTAACTGGAAGCAGCATTCAAACCTCAAGTCGATATTTTATCCCCCTCTGAGAAGTTCGGTTCACACAACCGGGACCACAACCACAATTGGGACCGCATTCATAAACTACATCCTTGGCTTCTATAAGTCTAAAATTTAAAAAACTTGCCCTCTCAGATCATGATAAAATATCCAAGCTATAAAGATTTCAGTATATCTGATGAAGATTTAATGGAATCCAGACCTTCCACCATCACGATGCACATACGGGAAATCCAATCCATTAAGCTTAGCACATGAACACGTCCTTGAAGCTATGCATGATCCACTACAGTCACATCCATTAGCATTTGAAGGAAGCTTCACACCGTGTGCAACTTTAATAGATTTGCAATAAGTGAAACCTGAAATATTTCAAGTGCATACATTCAGAATAGAAATCTACATTGCACTCGCAGCCAGAGAAAGAAAACCTATGGTAGAAATTAAAATGCAGTTTTTCATCATAGAGAGAATAGAAATCAAATATGCCAAAAAACAATATCAAACATCCCTTGTCTGTTGTTGAATAACACAACTTCTTGAGAAAATTTTAATATGGAACATGTAATCATGAAAAAAGTATTTATGTTCAGACATCATATCCACGTGTCATAAGAGAGTGAAAAGTATGTATAGCTACGAATACCATCATGTTTACGTATGTAAGTAAAAAAGAACTAAGAGTATATGAGTGAAAGGAAAAAGGACCCAGCCAATATGTTGTTCTCCTTTCAACCTAGGCAGAGAACTGGTAGATGAAACAACTTTGAATCTGCCAGATGCATTACCAATCTACTACAAGAATATCCAAACCAATTCTAACACATTCATCAAAACAACCTAATGAGATCAAACAAACTTTCTTGTTTCACTTGCCTGTAGGTGCCACAGGTGGGTCGTCCACCAAATTAGTAGCTGGAATTGGAACATTCTCCTGGCCACCAGTAATATCCTCGCACACCAATCTTGGATCATTTAAATAAAACAAAAACGCAGATTAAAAGATCGTATAATTTTGAAATAACCCTGAAGTATAATGTCTTTGCATATTTGATCAGCTTATTTAATTTCATACCCACGTATTTCTGAAACTGACTTGGGAACTCGACCATAAATAAATTGAACCTGTCACAACAGCAATGTTTATATTTGATCAAAGCACAGATGAAGAAGAAGCTCTGACTTCTATTAATTAATGATTTGTTCAATAAAGTGCATCGGGAATCTACAACTTGTATTAACCTAGATAACTGAAGTTAGGGAAAGTTGTAGAAACCACTCCTAAACAATTTTTTGTGATTGTTACAATTGCACACAACTTTTAATCGTAAAAATTCCAACCTTAAACTAACATAATTGTAAAAAATGGTAGGGGTATACATTATCCCCGACAGACTGATCCGACCGATCAAAACTGACCGAATCAAAGACGGTCGGTCGGTTTTCAGTACATGTCAGTTAGTCGGCCACAAAAATTTATAAATAACTGACTAACCGACTGACTATATAATAATAATAATAATAATTATGCTGCAAGCCACATCTAGGAAAGCAAAACACCAACCCTACAGCAACATGCGTGGTGCATGGGAAACCAACACATTAAATGCATTGGTTTCCTATTTTGATTTTTTTTTAATTCTTTCCATATCTCTCCCCAAAATTTTCTCCTTCCTTTCATATTTTCGGGCTGCCTCCCCAAAATTTTCACCGAGGTGTCTTTTCACTGCCAACTTCCTCATCGACACAATGATGGAATCTTGGACAAAAGGTTTAAGAATGATTCAATCTACCTCTTATTAATGAATGAGAAGCCTATATATAGAGCACTGAACTAACAGTAACTTATAGTTACTAAGCAGTAAAAGGAAAACTAAAAAGAATCACAACCTATAAGCCACATGAACAAGTTTATGACTAATAAAAGACAAGGGCAGCCGAAGAGGGATTCCCCGACCCAAAAAACCAACCCGTCCTCGAGTTATGCTGCTATAAAGTAGTCATTGGAGGAAGCAAGAAAACTTTCAAAACTGAATCTCTCTTCCTTTTGTGATTCAAATATACTTCAACTGAAAATATTGTCTTCAATTTGTCAAAACACCAATAAAGCAGTGTGTCAAGCATTCAATTGAGACGTATTTAGAGAAGAGAAGCAAGCTTTTCGCTCTCATCTAACACAATTTTTAATAGGACCAAATTTTTACCATTATGCAAGTTCAAAAGCTTTCTTTTTCCTTTCAATGAGAGACATATTTCATTGATATGATGAAATATACAAAAGAGGAAAACCCCAATGGGAGAGGGTAACAAAAAGACTCACCAACTCATCAAAAGATCATTAATTTGAGAAGGTGAAGTAACATTTACACCAACTTAAAGCCATAACCAAAACACCACCCAGAAATCTGTTGAAAGACACAATTATAATATATAAAAAAAAAAAAACATAAAACTTGTGCGTTTTGGGCATTTTTCCTTCTCCCTCACCAATGGTCTTCCTTCCTCTAAAATAATATAGATGACTTTATTTGCACCATTTCTCTTCAAATCACACGATACGGTCTCTTCATCTCATCCACTACATCAAAACTTTTCTCACTCTCTATCTCTCGATTTTTCTCTCACTCTCGATTCTTCTCTATCTCTCCATCTCACTCTCGATTCTTCTCTCTCTCCATCTCACTCACTTTTTGTATTTCTACTCCCTACTCTCTATCTCACAGTCTCTCGGTGATCCCCCTTTCTCTCTATCTCATTATCTAACTCTTCAACTCTCCCTTTATGAATGTTGTAAATTATGTATACATACATATATATTTACACCTTGCATTTACACTCCAAAGGCTATCACGCTTTAGTGTGTCTCAAGCTTTGAAAAACAAAGCATCCAAAATCACAAGGCTTCACGAATGCATCCCAAATCAAGAATGCAAAGTTGCATCTCAAAAGGCCATAGGGATGGCTTTTAATCCATCGATGGGTTTTTCAAGTTTTTTCTTCAATCTACTAAGTGATATGCATTTTTTGCCTCTTATTTATTCTCTTCATTGTGGATGATTCGAATTCCCAAGGAAGTCAAATTTTTTGCTTGGCAGATGTTTCATGTGAGGATTATCATTAATCACGTGAGAGATCTTATATGTTGTTGTGGCCACAATGGTACATGTCACCTTGATCATCTATCATGGATTGTTATTTCATTGCTCAATTTGGATACATTTGACATCTGTTTGGTGTGCAATAAATCTTGTGAATCAATGATGAATGAAGTGTTGTTCCACCCATAGTTTTGGAATAATGGTGGGATCCTTTAATGCACAACTTTTCTACTATTTTGTAGAACATTTGATTGGGGAGGACTAAGAAAATTTTTAGAGAATTTGGAGAGCTAGGGGTGGTGTGGGTAGTTTCCAACTCTTTGGGTGTTAGTATCTACAGATTTTTATAACCACCCTTAATCTCTTTTACCATGTAATTGAGGAGCCCTCTTTTGCAATCTCTGCGTAGGGCCCTCCCTTTGGGTTGAGAGGAAACCAAATAAGGAAGCTAGATGGTACTATGGAGAGAAACCAAAGTCTCTATGAAAATAAGGAAGCCAGCTTTGAATATTTTGGCAGTAGTTTTCAACTTATAACTTCTTGGTGGTTTTTATACAAAAAGTAATTTGTTTTGTAAGTATTCCCTTAATACAGCCCTTCACAATTGGAAAGCTTTCATGTAATTAGCACTCTTTTCCCTATCGAAAATACTTGACTCCTTAAGAGTAAGGAGGAATCTTGTCTTTACTACCATTAAATGTTTGACAACTAAGAGAGAGAAATGCAAAAATAGGAACTTCATAAAAATTAGTGAGTTGTCAATTTTTCAATGTGGTGAGGACAAGATTTGGTCACTACCGTTAAGGAGCCAAGTATTTTCCTTTCCCTACCCCTAGGTTGTTCTTTTGCACGAATACAACACCTTGTTTCTTATATTAAAAAAATAATAAAAAAAAGCATTATTGGTATAGATAAAATAAGATAATTGCAGAAGTTTGATAAAGAGTGCACCATCTGGAAGTACGAGTACAGTAACAGACTAAGTCAAAAAATTCTTCAAAACAAGATAGGGATTAAATCAGGGAAATATTGACCTGGTTTGTAGTCAACAGTGACTGTCCTTCAATCCGCCTAAGACGAAATTTAAACACAGTAAATCCAGAAATACCCTTCTCTGCCCAATATTGTATAACCTGTGAAACACAAAATACTGAATCAATTGAATACTAAACAGAACTATATGTCATAAGGGCCAGTAAAATAACTTTCAAGTATCAACAAAATTCCAAAATCTCCAGTAAATTCAATGTACAAAATCAAAACAATAAATAAAATTACAGCTTTGGTTAAGCCAATGTCAATCAAGTTTTATTTTATTTGGACGATGTATGCTCACTTCTTTGAAAAGTTTATTGAGCATAGCTGAACAATAATAGTATTATCTAGCATCCCAATTCAAGGGTCATCACATAATACGAAGATACTTGTATCAATTTGTTAATTTGGAGAGTAAAAATTAAGGGCTCTTCATATACAATTCAGATTCTGTTTCTTGTTTTCAGATTATTGAACATCTATTTGACATATTTGTTCTTGAAAACTATTCTTTCATATTGTTTTCACATTTTAAATTTGGAACTTTAAAATGAAATGCACAATTACATTAAAAAGGCTAAAAACTTTGATAAATATACTATTTCATATTATAAACTAATTTTATTTTTGTTAAAATTAAAACATAATGATGTATTCTTTGATAGTTTTACAGTAGTTAGTTTAGTTGTCTTGTTATTACCTTAAGGGGTTAGTTGGTAGCTTGTTAGTCAAGTCTGTTATTAGTTCTCCCTTCCAACAGAAGCCTATAAAAGGCATCTTTCCCTCCTGTTTTATTCATTCAGAAGATTAATAAACTTTCATCCTTTGGTTATACACCAAATTGGTATCAGAGCCCTGAACTAAGTTTCTTCGGATCTGATGGCTGGGAAGACCGTAGCGCCTTCCGACAAGGGACCGCGGCGGAGTCCGCAACAAATCAACCACTGTCGCCAAGATTTGCTACTGAACGTTTACTGTTGGTAGAGGATTCTTTGGGCGAAGTTCGTGCCAGTGTTCAAACAATCCATGGGTTGATGGAGAATTTGTCGAAGCACTTGGAGAACATTGCGATCGAGCAAGAACGACTATAGGACGACTTGGGCAACCACGACACTGCAGATCGTGGTGGCCAGCGACGGAATCGTCCAAGAAACAGATCGCGAACACCTGAAGCAGCTGGTCGTGAAGGGGGCCTTGAGCGCTGATTTCAAGAACTACAGTTGCGCGTTCAAGATTCCGATTCTTCGGATGCTGAAGACAATTTTTTTCGCGCCAATCCTAGGCGCGATCGGGAGGAGTACCACCATGGCGGGGGTATTCGGCTTGATTTTCGAATGAAGATAGATCTTCCGACTTTCAATGGTAAGATGAATGTCGAAGGGTTCTTGGATTGGGTCAAGAACGTCGAGAATTTCTTCGATTATACCAACACACCTAAACACAAGAAGGTCCGTCATGTGGCCTTCAAGCTGCAGTCCAGAACTTTTGCTTGGTGGGATCAGCTAGAGATTAATCGCCGGTGTTTAGAAAGCAACCCATTCGTAGCTGGCCGCGTATGCTCCGTCTGATGCGCGAAAGATTTATGTCGACGAATTTCAAGCAGTTGTTGTATCAACAGTATCAAAGATGTCGACAAGGTTCGAAATCCATCGCCGATTATGCTTCACCGACTTGGTGCCAGAACTAACTTGGCCGAATCAGAGGACTACAAGATTGCATGATTTGTGGATGGTCTTCGAGAGGACATTCAAGATCAATTGGATGTTCAACCCATCAATATGTTAGACTGATGAAATCACCATGGCTACCAAGATTGAAGAGAAACTTGAGCGAAAACGATTGAAGCCTCCTATGCGTCGGACGACTTGGGACAGAGCATCTTCGTCCAAGTCTACTCCCCCTGAGTCGATTAAACCAGTGGGCACTGGGACTTCATCCACTTCCACTCTTGCCACAAATCTTGAGGAACCAGCAAAGTCGTCTCTTCCTTTTAAATCCTCTGATCAGGCAACACGAAAAGGTACTAATCAATATACCCGCCCTACTCTGGGCAAATGTTTCCGTTGTGGGCAGGTGGGGCATCTCTCCAATGAATGTCCTCAACGACGTGCGATTGCTCTGGTTGATGAGGATGACCCAAATGCTCTGGAGGATGACGACATATTGGACGATGATACGGCCTACGTGGAAGCCGATGAAGGTGACCTTGTCAACTGTATGATCCAAAAGATCCTCTTGACTCCAAAGGTTGATCTCCAACCACAAAGACGTTCCCTCTTTCGGAGCCACTGCACCATTAACGGTAAAGTGTGTAATGCGATCATCGACAGCGGTAGCAATGAAAACATGGTTTCTCAGAAACTTGTGTCTGCGCTTAACCTCAAGATAGATCTGCATCCTAACCCATATAAGGTATCTTGGATACGAAAAGGAGGTGATGTGAATTCAGTATGCACAGTACCTCTTTCTATTGGCAACCAATATCGAGATCAAATCATTTGTGACATCCTAGAAATGGATGCCTGCCATCTTCTCCTCGTACGTCCTTCGCAATTTGATCTCCAAACAATCCACAAGGGGAGAGATAATACCTATGAATTCACGTGGACGGGAAAAAAGATTGTCCTCTTACCTTCCAACATCGACCTTAAACAGAAACGTGACAAGAACACCAATCCCACACCTTTTTCTTCACTTATTAAAGGTAAGACTTTTCTCCAGAAGGATGATTCTATGCTTTTAGCTTTAGTAGTGAAACATGACACCCCTGCTCTAAACACATATGTTGGTCATCTAGAAATCAAGGAGTTATTGTCTGAATTCCCCCTTTTAAGCCAAGATCCTACTGACCTACCTCCATTAAGAGACATCCAACATCGCATGGACTTTATACCGGAGGCCACCTTACCCCATCTTCCCCATTATCGCATGAGTCCAAAAGAGTATCACATTCTCCATGAATAAATTCAAGAGTTACTCAACAAAGGTCACATCCGGCCTAGTTTGAGCCCCTGTGCTGTTCCGATTTTGCTAGCTCCTAAAAAGGATGGCTCATGGCGTATGTGTGTGGATAGTCATGCCATTAACAAGATTACTATAAAATATCGCTTTCCCATTCCTCGTTTATCTGATTTATTGGATCAGTTACATGATGCCCAACTTTTTTCAAAGATAGATCTAAAAAGTAGATATCATCAAATCCGTATTCACCCAATGGATGAATGGAAGACAGCCTTCAAAACCAATGAAGGCATTTTTGAATGGCTCGTCAGGCCTTTTGGGTTGTCCAACGCCTCTAGCACCTTTTATGCGGTTAATGAACCAGGTTTTTCTTCCTTTCCATAACTACTTTGTTGTTATTTACTTTGATGATATCCTAGTTTATAGCAAAACCAAGGAAGATCACCTCATTCACTTACGCACAGTCTTTCACACACTAGAAAATAACCAACTCCATGTTAACCTTAAAAAATGTTCCTTCCTTCATACTGAGATATCCTTTTTAGGATTCATTGTTTCTCGATTTGGTATCTCTATGGACCCAGCCAAAATCTTAGCTATAACACACTGGCTTACCCCTACAAATGTCTGAGACGTCCAATGTTTTTTAGACTTAGCATCTTTCTATGGGAAGTTTATCCGTAATTTTAGCACAATTGCAGCACCTTTAACAGCTTGCCTTAAGAAAAGGACAGTTTAGATGGGATACTGATCAAGACCATAGCTTTAAAAGTCTAAAGGAAAAATTAAGCTCCACAACGGTCCTCACCCTCCCTGATTTTAGTCAACCTTTTGAGGTAGCAGTAGACGCTTCGGGTTTGGGGATTGGGGCGGTCTTATCACATAAACACCACCCTATAGAGTTTTTTAGTGAGAAGCTAACACCTCCTAGACAAAAATGGTGCACGTACGAGCAAGAATTGTACGCCCTAATACGAGCACTCAGACAATGGGAACACTACCTTATCGGTGAGGAATTCATCCTTTTTATCGATCGCTTCTCGTTAAAATATCTTCAAACACAAATAACAATTAACAGAATGCATGCTCGTTGGATATCTTTTATTCAAAAGTTTGACTTCGTGATAAAACACAAAGCCGGTGTTACTAATAAGGTAGCCGATGCCCTTAGTAGAAAAGCAAGCCTACTTACTCTATTATCAGGCCAAATTATTGCTTTTGATCACCTCCCCACTTTGTACGAACATGATACTGATTTCAAAGAAGTGTGGACTAAGTGTCTACAACATGTCAACTGTGAGGATTTCCATATTATGGATGGATTTCTTTTTAAGGGTGATAAGTTCTGTATTCCTCACACATCTCTCCGAGATATCCTAATAAAACACCTCCATGTTGGCGGTCTTGCGGGACATTTTGGCATTACTAAAACATTGGATCTTGTGGCTGATAGATTTTTTTGGCCACAACTCCGAAAGGATGTTACTATGTGTCACGGTGCATAGTATGACAAAAAGCCAAAGGAAAATCACAAAATACGGGACTYCATACTCCATTACCAATACCAAAGTCTATATGGGAGGACTTATCTATGGACTTTGTCCTACGTTTACCAAAAACACAACGTGGCTATGATTCGGTATTGGTAGTAGTGGACAGATTTAACAAAATGTCCCACTTTCTACCGTGCAAAAAAACTTCCGATGCCATATATGTGGCCAATCAATTCTTCCGTGACATTGTACGACTCTATGGGATCCCAAAAACCATTGTTTCTAATAGGGACGTGAAGTTCCTAAGTTACTTTTGGAAGACCCTACGGAAAAAATTTGATACCGGACTACGAATTTAGTACCACTAGCCATCCCCAAACGGATGGCCAAACGGAAGTCACTAACAGAACCATGGGCAATCTGATCCGGAGTCTAAGCCAAAATAAACCAAAGCAATGGGACCTTACTTTCACCCAAGCCGAGTTTGCGTACAACCACATGAAGAGTAGGTCCACACGAAAGTCCCCCTTTGAGATCGTGTATACTAAACTACCCAGACTTACAGTTGATCTTGCTAATTTACCTCATTCTGTTGATGTCAGTGCAGAAGCGGAAGAAATGGCAAATCGAATCGTGGAGCTACATAAGGAAGTGCTGGACAACTTAACACAAGCCACAACTCAGTATAAAACCAGTGCAGATGCTCACAAACGGTCCAAACAATTAGAGATAGGCGATCTGGTCATGGTGCATCTTAAGAATTCACGTTTTCCTAAAGGAACCTACAACAAATTGAAGGACAAAAAGATAGGTCCTTTTGAGGTCCTACAATGCTATGGAGACAATGCCTATCGCATCAATCTTCCACAGGACCTACGAATACAGCCGGTGTTTAATGTGGCAGATATATATGAGTACAAAGCACCAGACTCTTTCCAATTGGCATCTTGAAACTCGAGGTCAAGTTTTTCTTAGGAGGAGGGAATTTGATGTATTCTTTGATAGTTTTACAGTAGTTAGTTTAGTTGTCTTGCTATTACATTAAGGGGTTAGTTGGTAGCTTGTTAGTTAAGTCTGTTATTAGTTCTCCCTTCGAACAGAAGCCTATAAAAGGCATCTTTCCCTTCTGTTTTATTCATTCAGAAGATTAATAACCTTTCATCCTTTGGTTATACACCACGTAATATATTATAAATTATATAATATTGTAAAATAATAATTATACAAAATATGTAACATATATGTTAATAAATAAATTAATAATATTTTAGATTGAACTAAATACTTAGTTGGTATCTACCACTGCTCTACAAATATATTACTAAACACATCTTGAATAATTTTTAAAGTTAAGATTCAATTTTAAAATCCGTCCTCAAATGCATATTCGAAAACATTTAAATCATAGAATACAACTCTATTTTTCATTGAATCCCTTGTTTTCATATCACCAACCAATACAACTCTATTTTTCATTGAATCCCTTGTTTTCATATCACCAACCAAATGCATGTTAAAATACTACTAGATGTGCAGGACCTTTACTTGAATCCTTGTTAGAAAATTAAACGTCATTTAACGTAACAGCAGATGAAGAATGCTAAAATATCTAATGGTAGGTGATTCTGAAATAAATAACATTTACAATTAACAGTAAATATTAAAATGTCAAATAATTTGCACACTACATTGTATAACTCTAGTATTCAAGAAAGCATGCTATTATAGCACAAGCCAATAACATTGAAATAGTGTGAATGTAACTGAAGAGCAACAAAGCTAGAAAATGCTATACACCGTAGGATGGAAGTGGTAGTTTGTTATGTCTAATTCAGAAAAGTATTACCTCTATATCATCGGGCTCCTGAATCTAACCCTACAATATTTCTTTTTAAAAGATAAAATACCTTATACAAACCATCATATGTGTAAAGTTTCCCACAGTAACTACTTGCACATTCATGCCCTCGGACCACTCTAACTGGAACAGCTTGCTCAATACAATTCTGGATTTAATGGAGAACCCGGTTAGACAAAGAACTAAACTTTGAACTGACCAGATGTTAACCATGAAACATTTGAAAGTTGCAACAAAATAAAATTCCACACTACAGTCAAATGTTCAGATTAAAGAACAAATTTATAAAAGTAGTCTTCCTAGAGGACATCAAAAACAACAAAGAATCATAATTGCAGTCGCATCCAGACTTTCTTTAGCTGCAAAAAGGACACAAACTTTCAGGGGACTACATTACACAACAAAACTTTATAGCAATTAAAGGATCTAAGGAAGAGTTACAGCAAAAATAATAATTATGAAAAACAAGCGTCAAAATAAAACAATCCACAAGAATCAAAAGACTGAGCCCTCGTATATTTACGGAATTAAAAGTGGACACATCTTTTAGAATATCCAACACAGAAGTATATTTAATAACTTCTTCGTAAAAAATAACACTTCCAAAGGAAAATTTTCAACTCAACAGAGAAGATGGAGAAGAAAAAGACCACCATCATTCAAAGATTTATAAAATATTCTTTTTATAATAAAAGATTTATAAAAAAAATTATAATAAAAGATTTATAAAATATAAACTCAAGGAAAAAGAAAAGAAGATTTGAGAGTGGCAACTTCGCATTTTAAAAGTGTCTTAAAAGTTGACTCGGGAATCTTCACTGCAAGAAGTTAATAACTGTCGTGTGGAAATGCCACCAAATTCTCCATGTTGGTATTCTTACTACTAGACTGCTTAATAATTTCTTTAGTTGTATCTCCAGTGTTGGGAGTGTTTTTGCAAATATCAAATAATGGAACGCTCTCTTTACTCTCTTTAGCATTTTTCAGGCCAGATTTTGCAAATTTTAGGTTTTTTTTCCTCCTCTTGTTTAATCTTTCGAATGGTTTTTTATATGAAAAACGAAGCTTCCATTCAGAAAAGAAAGAAAAATAGGAGGGCATACAAAAAGACAGCCCAACAAAAAAAGTCAGAACTAATTAAGATGAGCATTCATTAAGATAAGACAAACCGTCATTTTCTAACTTTTTCTTTTTTTTAGATAATAAACTTGTATATTCCAAAGAAAAACTCAAAAGAAGACAACCTAAGGGCTGGGTAAAGAGAACCCCACCCAAAAGGACTAAACATTCACTTTCCAGTTGTTCATAACCATAGAAAGGTTGTAATTACAAAAGAATTTCATGTAGTTGATGCACCACAAGACAGTGTGATGTACCTTCATTTTCTAACTTGTAACAAATTTCCATTTAATCAAATATTGTTTTCACTTTCCTCCATTTCTTATCATTAAAAAACTATACTCGTACTTTAAATTTCATTAATCGCCTAGATCTTATTAGGTAACATAAGAGCAAAAGATAAGAGAGTTCTAAAAAAATCATGAGGTACATACCTTGAGAGCCAAATTACCACGTTCCATTTTTTGATCCCGGATTTGACGTTTATTTCCAGTTAAATTTTGTCCACCTTGACCAGTGTAAACAACATCCTCAGCATTGTCCAAGTCATCCTCATACATGCCCGACAAAACAATGGCCACAGCAAGTGGGAAGGAGTAATTACTATACTGCAATTATTTTAAAAAATAACGCAATGGATTATCATCTCAATCTTAATGGATACTCTTTATAGTACTCTGAAGTCAATCAGTATATTAGATATTTAGAATGTATAAAGGAAATGTAAACAAAAATCAAATGATCGCCTTTGTTTCAATTTCTCGCATTTATTCTCATCTTTATCTTTTGTCTTTCACCTTGCACATTTAAATGACAGTTCTAATCCATTTTGGGCCACTCAGTGTTTGTGGCTCCTTTCCACATTAAAGATTTAATCTTACATCTCTTTTACTAATTATTCTTTTAAGGAAAAACTAAAAAGTCAAATGTCAGTTAAATTTGGTTAGAAGGAAACAGAACAATGTTCTGGGATTTAATTTCTTCCATTGCCTTCCCATGGATACACCCGGGACAAGGACTTTTGTAATTGTTCTCCCTCTTCGACCAATCCCAATTGGAGCGTCATTGTAAGTCAATTGGTATTTTTTGGATGGGTTAAGAGTCCATTCTTCGCATGTATTTCTTTCTTTCTCTTAATGAAGCTGCTTCTTTAAAAAATGGAAACTATTACACACATTAACTATATACCACAGCCAACCCTATACAACCTATTCTGTAGAAAAGCAGAAAATACAATAGAAGTGTGATGAATGCCTAAAGAATAGGCTGCAAGGTAGCTACTGTCATCCCAACTAATCCAATGTAGGGGTTAATTTTGTAATTTTCCTTATTCTTTGTTTTAATTAGTTTTACGCTTAATAAAATAACCCTAATTTTCCTTGCCTCACCATCCTCACAAAATAATTGCATAATTCAATTTTATTTGGCATCGATAAGTTTGATAGTTTTGAATTCTTTTTCAATAAAGTTATATGCAATTTATGTTTTTTTAATTGAATTGGCAATATCAATTTGTTTGTGTTTACCATCAGATGTCCGCAAAGGGACTTATTTGTGTTTACCATAAAATAACATATTTACCAAAAGATAAGAAAACACTGAATGTAAATGAGTGTTTACCATACAATGTATTGTTGATTAGTAGCATTGACAGATGCAAGGTTGAATTGGAAGCCAATGGCTTTACCCAAAACTTATGATTGATTATCAAGAGATCTTTGCTTCTACTACCTTTTTCTATTATACGAAACAGAGATCTATTAAAAGGAGGAAAACAGAGATCATAATCTAAGGACACAGGGTTGAGAAAACCACTCCCCTATAACTGCGAAATAAAAGCCTTTCAATCACGAAGGATCATAGACAAAGTGGAGTTACAAAAGAACTTTCTATGACTATCAAGAGATCTTTGCTTCTATAACTAAAATTAACTCAATCACAATTTAACTTATATTGGCTCTCAACTTGACATACAAAATACATTTCTTAATATAATCTTGAGGTTAAATTGCAAGCCTAGTCCCTACACTTTCAGAATCGTGTCTAACAGGTCATTGAACTTTTAAAAAGTGATTAATAGCTCCCTCAATTTTCAATGTTGTATCTAGTAGTATTAAACACAAATGTTGTATCTAATAGTATTAAACACACATTGATCTTTCGATTTTTAAAGTTAAAAGCAATATGTTATACATTTGTTATATGGATTTGAATGTGCACAAGAGGTTTTGAATGCTTGTAGAATCTCATGCCCTTTACATTTCCATAACTCAAACGCGCATAACAAACATCCCTTAATGATTGAAGCCCCTTTTTGCTTGTTAGGTCTTTAGTCATTTTGCCTCCTTTTGGTTGTGGTTTTTGTAAGTCCTTTTATGTATTCTTTCATTTTTCTCCATCAAATCTTGGCTCTTCGTAAAAAACAAAACATCATTTAATGCCATATCAAATTTTTAGACTAATATAACACGAGTCCAAGAAAACTATGAATAGACTTGGTGTTTTCTCGTATATCTTGACCCAACAAAATTAATGATGATAACAACTCACTTCAAGGATCCTAGTCCAAAAGAAAATGTGTAAAATATATGCTCTAAAATATAATGATGACAACAATGATGGCACCTGAATGACTATTCATAATGCAAAGAAATCGTCAGATGGAGGAAATTGGAGAATCTTTTTACCATTTTGCTGTATGACATCCCCATGTAATCAATTCCATTCAGCCAGTGGCTATGAAACCCAACAGCTACCATTTCAGCCCTTGAATAGAACCGATGCCCAATATTGACACCTATTATAGCACGTAAATCAGTATATGTTGTTGTATATAGCTTAGTTATAATTTATAAGTCTCTTAGTAATATTGTTTTTTTACTTCACGTTCTTTATTCTAGGGGATTAGTAAATAGGAATATTGTGGTGTTGGCTACATTGTATCTGTTCTTCCTAGTTCCTACCACTATTGATATTTCTTTCAAAAGTGATCTAACATCTGAAGTTTGGGTCACCTTTTTAGGATAACAATTACTCATTACCACCCATACTAGGAGCATCTTAAGGTTGTTTATTCCAAATCATTCGACTATCGGAGTGTGTGGGACACACACGCCCCCAAGACACTTGGTATAAGGTTGTCTGTTTGTTTAACCATTGTGAATTTGTAAAAGAATTACTCAAATACTTCGAATTTATATACTATAATCAAGCAGTACGACGTTTGATGTGTGCAAGGTCCTTTACTCCCAATATGGGGGAGTAGTCTCTTATACAAGTTGTAGGGAGTATTAAAAAACTGACGTTGAACTCAAACATTAAAAGTTAGTATTAATCCCAAAGTTTAACTTGGCCAATGAGAGTATGAGAGCAAATGGCAGTAATAAGTTTTTTAGCTCCTTTTGTAGTGGGCATTGTTTTTATATTTCATTTGGATTCCTTCTTTCATTAAGGAAAGAATGGTTTTCCATCCTAAAAAAAACTAATGAGTTTTTCGACTAGACTTACAACTGCATTTAAGATGGCCAAGCCCAAGTATCTCGGACATAGGGATCAAACAAATAAATACCAAGGTAAGGAAGAGAGGAAATTTTAGACAAGTTTCATGAGGAATCAATCTTCATTGTTGGTGAAAGCCAAGCCATATGGAATGTTAAATGGAGATCCTAGGTCTAGAATAACACACAGACTGAAATTGCATAAGGACCGTTAACTATTTCTTTTTTTTTTTGGATAAGAAACATATCTGTATTGATAAAAAAAGAGAAACAAAAAGAGAAACAAACTAGAGGCTGGGGTAGAGGGAACCCCACCAAACAAACTAAACAACCGCTTCCCAATTGTTCATAAACATGGAAAGGTTGTAATTACAAAAGAATTTACTATAAGTGATGCACCACCGAGAGGTCGTGTGTTGTACATTCCTACAAAAAAAACCAAAAGTAGTCGACTTATCTTCAAACATGCGAGAATTCCTTTCCAGCCATAGACTCCATAGGAGAGCCCTTGAAGCACACATCCAAATAAACTTAGCCTTTTTAGGAAGAGTCCACCCGTGAAGCACTTCAACCATCCAATCATCTATCATTTTTGGGAAGCAAATAGAAATTTCAAAGGTGTTTAAGAGGAGACACCAGTTCTTTTCCGCAAAAGAACAATGCAGAAAAATGTGATCTATGTTCTCACTGTGATTCAAACAAAAGGAGCAGACCGAGGGGGATAACACCCAATTCTTGCACTTTTTCTGTAGATTCTCATGAGTATTAAGGCTTCTATGAGCAAGAGACCAAAGGACGACTTTGATCTTCTTTGGGACCTTGAAGTTCCATATTGCCGAGATGAGGGGTGATCTCAAAGATGGGCTATGATCCAACAGCTTCAAACGGGCCGAGCGAGTAGAGAACTGACCATTTTTTCTAGGAGGCCATAAAATCCGATCCTCCCCCTCACCCAATCGCACCACATCGACAACTTGGATAAGATTTATCCAGTTTTCAAGCTCCCAATCAAAAAGACCTCTACGCAGACCTAGATCCCAATCGTTCTCATTAGCATTCCAACATTCCATGACTGTGGCTTCCTTTTTTGTAGATAGATTGAAAATGTCAGGGAACCTCTTCTGGAGAGAGTCATTCCCAATCCAACTGTCTGACCAGAATTTAATACGATTCCCTTTCCTCGTCTTGAACTTAAGGAATTTGGAAAAAAACGAGTTGTTCTTGAAAATATCGAACCACGGTCTTCC